TTTCATTCATCTTTCACTTACACCCATACCCTCAAATTCAGATAGATTTTGAAATATTATTTTAATTGCATTATAGTTAACTTGTCTTCTCTCTATTATAAGTTTTGATTTATTTAAAAATAAAAACTAAATTGAAAATAATGTTCTTTCAGATTTGTTATACAATAAGATTAAAATTTATACAAATAGTTGTTAAATATTCTCATATCATAATATTAATATGTTCATTAATTATACAAAATTATTTAGTATGATGTATTATATTAGCATTAGCACATGTTGTTCTATCTAAATTATATTGAATAAATTCTGGTGAAACACTTTATTAGATAAGTTCAGTAACGAGAACAAGTTTAGAAAAGATGTCATCTTGAGGGTGTGTGTGTTCGTGCATCTTACTTATCTCACACACACCTATGCCCGTACTCACACCCTTTCAATCATCATTATCAAAAAACATTTCTAAGAAGAATACATTTAATACTAGTAATTTCAAGAGTCATTATTTGAATATGATCACATATTTCAGCACATAATCGATGAAATTTATCAGAATCAATTGTAGAGACCTAATCTTCTGATAATTCTATTGAAAAGTGTATTGATTTCGAATAATGAATAAAGAACATCTACTGAACCAAGTTTATCGAAAATAATCAATAATATTATTATTCATATTGAATAGATATGAATTTTGTCAGTCATTATTCAATTACACATATGTTACCCGCTGACTGTCTCAATAGATGATTACCGTATAATTTCTTTCTTACACAATAGATTGAAATCTAGACGATATGATGAGAAAAAATCTTGAGGGTGGGCGTGTGTATTCTTCTCATTCATCACCCACGCCTCTCCAATAATAAAATGATAAAAATCATATTTCTTTATATTCATAATTTTTTCGAAAATATTTAATTAAAATATGCATGATGATGGATCAATAGTGATCAAATATACCTACTTACAACGTCTTCAATTTATTGATTAATTATGAACAAGAATATTTACAAAATATATATATATAACACTCAATTATTCTCGACTATCATACCAATCGCAGCATGATTTTTCATCAACATATGTTTCAAATTATACGCCCATAATGATAACCATTTGAAAGGAATTTTCTAAAAATATTTTCTGTCATTTAATGAAAAAGAATAAAGATAATGAATAACTCACTTGTTTTTTAATATTTATCATAGAATCATAACCCACAATATTTATATCATAATAAAGCCAAAAAGAGATGAAAATACCAATTATGATTCCAAGAATTGACAAACAAATCAAATAAATTTGATTGGCGCTAGGAAACTATATATGAAAAAGAAACAAACTATATTTCAGTCCATATGACAAAAAAGAAAACTTACTGTGCCAGGCTCAGTAAGAGAAAGACCAAGCAAAAAAGGAGCCAATACGAATGGTAACGCAGCTACAACCAAGTCATCGTCAGCTCTGATAAACCTTATCTAGTTGATGAATTACACAATTGACATTTTAATTTCGATAAATAATACACTCACTCTATTTGTTCCCGCTGATGCTGGATTGAACAGTACATATTTAGGCCAACCAAAAATAAAAATAAAGAGTGCCATGAAAAAGAACATAAAGAAAAGCGATACGAAACCATCGACAATATTCTCCATAGTCTAAAAATACGACATTAGAATATATAGAGAATTTTATTTTTGATAAAAGTCTTTAGGAAACTTACATAGAAATTGTAAATGCAATCGAAGATAGGTATGCTGCTTATCCAAATCATTAAGATACATATGATAGGAAAATGTCGATATCCGACTGTGATGACGGTCCTCTAAAAGATCGACGGATTGTTATTTTTAATGTTGTTGTACGTAAGAGATTCATCTTACAGACAACTAATATTTAAATTAACTCTTAAGCTCGAATGTATTTGTTAAATACTTACATCTGTTGTTGTAGATTCATCTGCCATTGTTACATAATGATCAGAAATGACATAAACAGAATTTTTCTCAACACACATGATGCTACGTAAGATATCAATCTTTTCACACTACAACTCGTGCTGTTCACACATGAAATATGCATACTTAATATATATGTATTGCAAACAATGTCCATCGTTCGACCATAGGTGTTATGCTAGAAAGTAAGGTCACGAAGTCACATAGAGGTCAAAATATGCTTTTGTCTACTATTGAATATTACATGTATTTGAATAGAAAAAAATTAATTTTGAGGGTATGGGTGTAGATAAATGATATTGACATTTGTATTCTAACTATCGCCTATATATACACGCCGTCAACAACGATAAACTAGTTATTAGTGTTTTATGTATAGTTAAATATTAATTTCATAGAAGAATTTGAAGCCACTTTGTTAGACATCATGATGACATATTTTTAATCATTGATGCTATTGATTTGTTTCAAATTTAACGTTATATTCTATTACATCATATGTCAAAGCTTAGATTTATAGTATTTCTTTGATTATTTTATTTCTGCATTTATATAATTGTGCATTAACAAAATGTGAATGTGAACTCATTTCATTAGCTAATATATTTTTAAATAAATAGTCTAAAACAACAAACCGTTTTTTTCTTCTAATGTTTATATAGAGAAATCCTGTAATTTTATTTTAATTAACCATTTTAACAGTATTTTATATTAACTAAATCATCGACATTGAACAATAACAAAATTAACGTTTCTAATGTAGTTGTAAATAGAAGGAATATCAATAGAAGATATTCATTGTATTGTATTTTGAGGGTGTGGGTATCGATAATACATCAGAAGAATACGAACACACATCCATACCCACAAATAATAACTATACATAAAATTTAGGACTGTTTCTTCATAATAGATTATTATCATTTGTCACCCAACTCAAACTAAGAAAGATTACATTCTAGTATTTCATTGTCAAATCGGTGAATCAATCAAAAATATGAAAAAATCTCCAAAATCTATTTGATCGGGTCATTGTGCTATTGCTAAAAAGATTCCTATGAAACTTATCTGCGTAGAAAAATTTACTGATTATCTACCTCTAGTCGTTTCGTTCTTCGTAATATGAATTATTCAAGTTATTACTCACAAATTATGGGAAGAACATAAAAGTTAATCATTATTTATTTCATAAACGAGAATCAGCAATTTTTTTTCATTTTTATATTACATATATTCTAGAATTTATCAACAGTTGGTGCTCTCTGTAGATAATAAGATCGACCAGAATAATTAAATTGCTTTTCATGTTTGATTTTGGTACTTTGTAAATTACTACAGCATCCTATCAAACAAGTTTTCACTTTAAAGCTTAGATGCTGCAGTTGTGAAGAGTAATTAAAACTAAGTCTTTTTAACGTTACCAGATCCATAATAGAATTTGTTTTGTATTCCATTCTAGCCCAATGGTATAAGTACCCACACAGACATGATCGTCGTCCTTTCATATATTCGTGAAAGAAATTGAATCGCCTTTTTATATTGCATTGTTTACATGAGCGAGGCGAAGGTGAATCGTAATATAAGAAATAGTTATACCGTGATAAGGGCCAGGAAGAATTATGACCACGACCGTAGCTCCGACATTCACAATAATCCTCATATAATAGCTACTAATGTCGATAGAAGATCTAACATGCTTTCTCCACCGAAATATATGATTGAATGGTGCTTCAAGAAATTGATTTCGATCATCTAGATCATCATCCGTATTATTCAACATTTCTAAATGTTGCTTATAAGCAAACAACATAGCATGTTGATCGGGTGTGAAGATGTCAAAACAATAAGTCTCTATTATTATCAATGTTTGATCACGTAAACGTTGACCAAATACAGAAACATAAGAAAGAATATCCATTAGTAAATCAAAGATAATTTTGATAGTTTCGACATTGTTTAAATTATATTTTCAATTAGCAAGAGCAATAATAAATTCTTGAGGATGTATCTAGTGCTTCCGATGGACTAGCGACATGATATTCTTCTAGAAATGATTCTCGATTTTTTTTGTACATGTTTTCTCTTGATTCTAACGAAGAAACTGACAGTGAATCAATACACATATATTCATATAATTGAAGCATTTGGAATACATCGACATGTTGTGGTAATTTAGTGAACAGCTACGATGGTTTTTCATTGAGTGCAGCAGAAATAATAGGATTTAACAAAGCATTATCTTTATTTCGACGATGAAAGAATCTATCTGCATTTATAACAAAAGTATTTAAATATGGGATGTATTTAAGTTGATCTTCAGTAATTGAAATGACGTGATCCGACTGAGTAAAACCAAGTTTATGCACCGCATACATTAAACTTACCATTGCAACTAACAATGAATGAATAAAACTTCCAAATATATGCGATGTTCGTCTTTTCTGTTCTGTATATGATTCATTTTAGTTGATTTTTTCCTTCACTTTTTTTTATAGTTACTGATCAAATGGATTTTTTATTTATTCGAAAAAATATCCATCATCGTCACGTGTTACATAGATTCTATCGAAAGAAACGACTAAAAACACAACACAAAAGAAAACTGGCGTATTTCTCGTTAATTTTTGACACCAAAAAAGTACAGTTGACATTCAAATTCCGGTTCCAAAATAATTCTTGATTGTTTTACTTTATGATCATATAAACTTGTAAAATGTGACTCTGTGGAACACAATAGATAACTAATTTCCATTGATCACGTTTTATTGTCTTTGTATCTGCACCCATAATTTTTTGTGATCTGTCAACAAATAGGCATTACCCATAACTGCTCGAATATGACCTGTTTTCAGGTGGATATCGGTGTGGGTGAGAAGTAAATATAATACTATTTATTTTTTAGTTCGAAATCTATGAACAAAAACATTTCATCATCATTATCAAACAACTCGATATATTAATATGATAAAATAAATTTATTAGTATGTGAGTATATATAGTATTGATAATAGTTCATAGTAATACAAAATTAAACTGTTAAAAATAACCAGAATTTACAGTAGTGGTACCATTACTAGTTTCTATTATTGTTGTATAACTATCGACATTGTTAGGTTGTGATATTCCAAATAAGTTATAGTGTGCTTCTATATGAAACGTTGAGCTTACACAGTTAATTGTTTGTCCACTTACTATTGTCCATGTAAAGATTATATCTGTACCATTATCAATATAATATTGATTGATCAGTCCACCTGAAAATGTAGTGAAAGCACCGTTATATGTTGCACCAACGGTCTTGGATACAGTGATTTGAATAGTAACGTTTGTCAAAGGAATCGAACAGCTGATAAAGATATCATCATAACCATTATAGGCACCTCGAGTTGATGATATACTAACACTACCTGTAAACATAAACAAAACAGATCTTCAATTTTTTTTTAGTTTTTGCGTTCATTGTATATGTTACACTCTTGAGTACTTACATTTAGAAGAAAGATCGGAGAAAGAGAGAGATGGGTGTGGCTAATCTGTCAATCTTGTATCCTAACCCATGCCCTCAAGACGAAATATAAATAAAATATACATAGAAAATGTAATGAAAATTAATATCTATAGATTTTCGTTTCAAGATATGTTTGATTATTTAATATTAGATAAGGAGAACATTTTTACTTACTTGGTGTTGAAGCAGCTGTAGAGATGCTTGTTGATGGACTCGTGGGTGAACTAGTTGAAGTTGATGCTTAAATAAAATAAAATTGCAGAGAAAGCTAAAGGATGAATCGCAGTTTCACTATTTTGACTTTCATGAAATTCCTTTCCATCTTCTTTTCTATATTAATCAGAGTATCCTCCCAAGGGTGTGATTATGGGTGGTAGTATTCTTATCACCCACCCTCAAGAGATACCAGATGAGTTCTTACCGTACCTGCTGTTGATGAAGGTGATTTTGTTGTAGATGGCGTATTCGATGAAGTGACAATTGAGGTTGATACAGATAAGCTACTTGATGAGCCAGATGATGATGTTGTTACAACTAGAAATATGAATTTAACATATATAAAAAATTAAAAAAACCTTCTCTCTATATATGTTCTATGTTGAGGATGCGAGTATCAATATTCTAATTATCACCCAATCACTCTTATATTTGGATTCAGACCGATATCAGAGTACACTCAGAACATTTTCTAATGTGATTTAACGACAAAAATGAGATTACCGATGAACTATTCTTTCGAAAAACTACTATTCATAATGGCAATAGAAGAATGATACATGTAATATTTTCAATAGATCATTAACTTACAATCATCATTTGCCTAATTACTGGCGATATCTCATAATAGGGTATTATTTAACCAAAAACTGTACTCAATTATCTTCTTGTTTCATTTAACAAACAAAAAGATAAAATAATCAATATGAAAACAGTGATTTTTATTAGTACATACTTAATGTGCCCGTTGCTGTTGTTTTTGAGGTCAACCAGAATGTGAGTACAAAAGCTAAACCTATTCCAGCTAGTAATGATCCAATGATACAGCATTTGAAACACCATGCAATGGATGTCTTCTTTTGATCGATTCTGCCATTAAAATATAAGGTATATAAACATCTTGAAATCGATATTGTACTTACTGATTCTTATTATCATCATCTGCCCAGGCATTGACTTTGATCAATGAATAACTTTGACGTTTGATTGGTACTGGATCCGATGACCAGTCGGAGTATTGTGGATTCGTCATTATGTGTAATGTCACTGGATTGGCAGCTGATTTCGATGTGAATTGAATGAAGTAAATATGTTTTATATAATAAAAATAACTAATAATGTACTCATTTCAACGGATTCGGACATATAATGTAAATTTCATATTTTGAGTAAACAAATTCATCATTTTAATCAAAAGTTTGGCCTCCTGAAGAGAAAACAAAATGTAACAGAATGCGTGTTCGATTGAAAAATTCGTTGTTTATTAGAGATCGATGAGTTGTGTATCACAATTGGAAGGCAAATGAAAACGACGTGGTTTTGCTCTATCAGTTAAATTCACAAGTTTATAACTGATCTAAGTTCGGAACTTCTAACTAGCTTTAATTTTGTTAAATATAAGCTCTTAATATACTATCAAACGAAATTATGATAGTCATGAAAATTTTGATATTTATTAAATACCGATTCGATTCAATTCTAGATTTTAAGATTTTACCTCTTTTAACTAAGTTATGAATATCTCTAGATTTCTTGTATAACGAATTGATTGTATTCTTTCATTGAGCATACTAAATCTGCAATATAGAACTAAAAAAAATTGAAGCGTATATTTTCATGTTTTTATTTCTTTTCGTCGTATTTTCTACATTAATATATACAACAGCAAAAAAACGTCTCTTCGTGAAATCAATTTTTCTCGTTTCTTTATTGTTGCTCATGAATTAAAAAACAGTATGTATAAGGTTTGTAATTAATTATTCTATTCGCTTGTGGAATTTGAATTATGATTAAAATGATAATAAATCTATAATAAGATCATCAGCTATCAAGTCCGATGCATTCGATTGGTTTCGATTATTTGAATTTGGTTGCAAATAATTATTTTATATATTTAATTAAAAAAATTCCACACTGAAGAAAAAAAACATTTCTTTTCAACATTTGAAACAATATTCGAATATATAATAATAAACTTTCATTTTATTTTATCCTGATTGATATGAGAAAATCTATTAATGAAAAATAATCGATAAATTTTTGTTATTAATGACTTATGATTTTATTTTGAATTTAATAATACTTGAACATTGCATACGAAAGTTTTTCTCTTCATATAAACAACTGAAGAAGCAGGTGTAGGTCAAATTGAGCAGTTGTAATCCAGTAATAAAACGATAAGAATCATATTTCTTTTATATTCAAAATATTTAATTAAAAATATAAACATACTGACAAATTTTGTGATTGATTTTCTGTTCTTTTTTAAAGAAAATCATCTTCATTTTATTGATTAATCATAAAGAAGAATATTTACAAAAAATAATTATATAACAGTCAATCATCCTCGACTATCATACCAATCGCAGCATGATTTTTCATCAACATATGTTTCACATTGTACATCCATAATGATAACCATTTGAAAGGAACTTTCTAAAATATTTTCTGTTATTTAATGAAAAAGAATTAAGATAATGAATAACTCACTTGTTTTTGAATATTTATGATAGAATCATAACCCACAACATTTGTATCATAATAAAGCCAAAAAGAGATGAAAATACCAATTATGATTCCAAGAATTGCCACAGAAATATCAGAAAGTAGTGTGACGTAAGATATCTATTTATGACAAAGAAACAGATTGTATTTCAGTCGATAGGACAAAAAAGAAAACATACTGGGGCAAGGCCACTAAGACTAAGATAAAGCAAAACAGCAGCAAATTCGAATGGTATCACAGCTAGAAACCAGTCATAATTGGTTTTGATAAACCTTATCTAGTTGACGAATCACACAATTTACATTTCAATTTCGATAAATAATATACTCACCCTTTTTGTTCCCACTGATGCTGGATCGACTAGTAGATATTTAGGCCAACCAAAACCAAGAATACTGAATGCCATCATAAAGAACATCTCGAAGAGCCATACGAAACTTACGCCAATATTCTTCATAGTCTGAGTACACGATATGTGAATATATAGAAAATTTTATTTTTGATGAAAATCTTTAGGAAACTTACATAGAAACTGTAAATGCAATCGAAGATATGTATGCTGCTTATCAGAATGAATGGGATACACATAATAGGTAAAAATCGATATGGGACTGTAATGATGTTTCTCTAAAAGATCAGTGAATTTTTATTTTTAATGTTGTTTTACATAAAAGATTCATCATACAAGCAGCTATTCTTAAAATCAACTGTTAAGTTCGGATGTGCTTGTTAAATACTTACGTCTGTTGTTGAAGGTTGCTGTATGATGGGTGCAAAATGATCAGAAATTGCATCAACAGATTTTTTCTCAATACACATAATGCTACGTAAGATATCAATCTTCTCACACTACAACTCGTGCTGTTCACACGCATAAAATATGCATACTTAACATATATGTGTTCCAAACAATGTCCGTCGCTTGAGCATAGATGTTATGCTAGAAAGAAAGGTCATGAAGTCATATAGAGGTCAAAAGAGGGTGTGGATGTAGATAAATGATATCGACATTTACATTCTAACTATCGCCTATACATACACACCGTCAACAACGATAAACTAATTATTAGTGTTTTATGTAGAGCTAGATATTGATTTCATTGAAGAATTTGAAGCCACTTTGTTAGACATTATGATGACATATTTTTTATCACTAATGCTATTGATTCGTTTCAATTTTAACGTTGTATTCTATTACATGATATGTCAAAGCTTAGTTTTATAATCTTTCTTTTATACTTATTGTTAATGACAATACGCCATTCTATCTTTTGTTTGCAAAACATTTTGCTTCATGTTGTCGTTATATTTGCTACGTTGACTATTGTTCAAAATGTTCTTAATTATGATGAGAGTAAAGTTAGTTATATAAATGCTGGTCAAATACATTTAACCAGTGGATCAGCTACAGCTCAATGAAAACAAAATATACTCTATTCATTTTTACTTGTTCGATTAGCTACTAATGCTAAAATATCTCGAACATCTATTTCTTCATTGTAAGAAAATTATGAACGTATTTTATCTAATATTGCTTGGACTACGACATCGTCTGCAAAGCTTACTCCATTTATTTCCATTAATGATCGTATTTCTCTCAAATCTGTTATTACAACATGATTAGCCAATCGAATTACTCCTGAATTACAAGATATATTAATTCGTAGTTCCAAGCAAATCCAGCAACTGAAATCTACAAATATATCCATCGCAGAATTTACTAAAGCTTCAAGTGATGGTAATATTTATAGCATACAAGTATAATTATATGTTACATTAACAACATCAGAAAGTATCGGAAGTGATATATTATTATTACATGAGTATGAGGGTGGGTGTGAGTGTGGGTTTGGATATAAGAAGAGTATAACACCTACACCCTGAAGAAAATAAACAAAAATATTTTGGGTTTTCAAATACTATTTTTCCTTCACGATAAATTGATGCACGGAATATAAAAGTCCTTTTGTAATTGCTTTAACATAATTTGTTTTTTTTTTATTTTAATTTCTTTCTGGAATTTCATTCTTTGATATATCTGTTTTATTTCCAAGAATTGAGAAAAAACCAAACAGAAGATGGGTATGATTATGGGTGTGGGTGTAGAAGTATATGACCCCAACACACACATATATCCACCCACACCTACCAACATACACATCCTCACCCACCCAGACTAGAGTTTCCAATAGCAGTTATACACAGCATAAGCAAAATGTGCTGTACAACTGCAATTTTTCTTTTACACTCTGATTTACAATTTGCTCGAAAAAGCACAGTGTACGGTACACATTTTGCGAAAATGATTTACGGCTTGATTCTAAAATATCAGAGTCGGATTACGAAATGATATGTTTATTTATCACTCATATGTTTGATATTTAACAAGTATTTATACAAAGTATTCATGAAGAAAGTAGAATTATTTCTGTTTTTTACATTGGAAAAACGTCATAAGTACATTTTGTATACTTACGTTTTGTCTACGTAAGCAAAGCGTACCAATACGTTTTGTTTGAAATTTCTATTGGAAACTCTGCACCCAGACCAACATTCTCACTCACTTTCACCCTCACCCACACCCTCAAGAGTGAAATATTTATTGGACATAAACGAGGTATTTGTACGGGTAGAAGAAAAGAGATGTCGAAAATGTTCATTTCCATAAAAAATTGGATAAGAAAAGGATAAAAGACAGACTCTTGTTTTGCTATGATATAATATAGAATTGAGTAAGTCAAAGAAAGAATAGGTGAATAAAACGCAAAAGTTAACCACTTTTGTACTCTAAATCGGCTGAATGTGAAATGTAATTATGCCATTCGATAGCTCTTCTAATTCTCTACAACTTTAGATCTTATAAAATTTGTCGACAATATCCATGTCTTTTATTAAGATTGTAAAGGATTTGTTCACTGTTTTTTAATTCTTTAGCAAAAAATTGTTATTCTTATAGAATTTATCTTTTTTAGATCCAGTGAGATATTTTTGTTGCTCTTCAAATATTCTATCATCCTGTGCATTTAATCAGCGTTATGGATAGTTTTGAATGCAAAAACTAGAGCAATAATACAGTTTGTAAAATTGTCAATGGAAGACATGTACATCCTCCATAAATTTTATTAAGAAACTATGGACAATATTATTTATCTAAGATCTAAAATTTTAGAAAATTAGAGGAATTATCGAATGGCATTATTACATTTCCTAATCAGTCGATTTCGAGTGTGAAAAGAAGTCACAGATAGTGGCCAACTTTTTCTTTCCAATGGTATATTTATGCGTACGTGCATCAAGAAAAAATATTTTGAACTTATTAATTCACTGCTTTTGTTAAACAAAAGAATTAGCTCAATTGATTCCAACTTTTCAACATATCTTTAGATATTAAATAATTATCAGTGACATTACGACGTAAATATTATCTGAAAAAGTAAATTTCTTTATTTTATGTTTATGATCTGTTAAACAAATTGCTATGTCATAATTCAGTACGATGATAGATTAATCGAACAACTTGTCTCACATATTTTAAGTTATAATAAACGACATTGCTTAGAGCATATCTCGGGAATGGAGAGATGTAAACACGAATGCGACTGAGTTTTTCTTAACCTCATTTATACGTTGTTAGCATTAAAATGGACGAAATCGATAGTTCCAAATTAGTTGAAATAGTTTTTTCTTCAATTTAACAAACATATACAATTCGAAGAACTGTTTCTTCTCCGGTACTATCATTAATAATGATTCGATCAACTCAAAACGAAACTTGGTTCATTTGTATATGAATATAATCATATTATGGTAGCATAGAGATATTACAGAAAAAATAAACTCTCACTCAAGAAAGATATTTCTTTGAGAAAATTTGTTTTGATTGTGGAAGCTTAAAATTGGCTACTTATTTATCTTTCATGAAACGACAGATCTATCGTTGTTTACGACATTGAAAACTTGTGATTATTTAAGTGGCTTTGGACTTTGCGTATAAGTTAGATAACGAAATGAACCACATGGTAGGACAAATATTATTTTTCGTTTATATCATAAATTGAATCAAGTAATTATTTTCACTAGACATCTATGTTGTGTATACACCTTCTAATCTTTCGTTATGATTTTAGTTTTTTCTTTTTTGTCCTCATACTCGGAAGTAGACATATACTAATGAATATTATATTTGTTTTGGTTTATTTTACCTATCAAACGATGTTTTTATCCAGAATGTGACTTTCGAAACGAGTTAGTAGGAAGAAGAACGAAAGAAAAAAAAGACAGATTCTGCGCAATATCAAACTAAGTGAAACGTGTGCATTGTATTAAAATAGCTATAGACTGATCAAATAATATTTCACATCAACAAACGTACAGGTGAGGTATGTGTTATTTAGTGTTACATAGAAATTTTTTTTATAACGAAAATTTGTATAAAATGTATAGAAAGTGAGTTTCGTATAGAAAGAATTGCTGAGGATTGGTTAAATAGTGCTGTTCAATACTAATTACTTTCTGTTTTGATATGAATAAGAGAGAATTTTGACCATTATCAAAAGGTATTATTAGAGTAACGAAAAATTAAAAAAAACTAATTACGATTATAGTTGTAACATCTGATCGGTACGCACAAAGTACAATGTGTAAATATACAAATATCATAGAAAAACTCTGAGTGTTTAAGAAAATGGTATTATTATTTTATTAATATGTTTTCATAGTCACGATATATTTAGGATACCAAATGATAACTTTTTTGTTTACCTGGTGAAAGCACATCAGTAGAATAATAGATTAAGGTAAAAGTTAGGATTTTGTGTTCTGAAAAGCAGATAGTAAAAAGCGTTAATGTTGCGTTTCGACGCAGGACTTATGCTTATTCAGTCACTAGATACTACGAAGAAGTTTAACTCGTCATTTAAGAGCAAAATGAAGGAGAGATAAATATTTCACGTTTATTACTATCGGTTAAAAACTCACTTATTATAATTAAAACTCTTTTTTTCAGAAGGTACATACAAACTGCAATCGAGTAATAATAAAAATTTCAACAGTACAATTGAAATACGAGGAAACAACAACAAACACAGCCAGTGTAAAGTATTTAATTACAATTGAAATATGATATTTGCATTAAGTCGTCTGAAGGGTTGTATACACTTATGGATTTTTATTGCTTTTTTTGCTATATCAAATGCTCAGAGCAATTTAACTGCATTAACATCGATCAAAATATGTCCCAGTTCACAATCATTATGTGGTGAGAGCATTTGTTACGATCCAGCTATACAAAACTGTACTGAGCTCGACAAAATTGTTCAATGTATTGGTATTTGTGGAAATCAATGTTACAATCCAAATACACATCAATGTTTCAATGGTACAGTATGTGAAAGTAGTGAGCAGTTGTGTATCATTGAATACTACAGTAGATCTCCGGTTACAAATGATCCACCATTATATCAGTGTTACAATCCTACAAATTCGGTGTGTTCGAATAACACACTTTGCGAGCGCTTCTCTCGATCATGCAATCAGCAATGTCTTCAAAACAACCAATTGTGCGTTAATAATACGACAATATGTAATCTTACAAATACGTATTATTATCGATCAAACCAAGTTCAGTCATGCAATAGTATATGTTATGATTCCGAAGTTCAAATATGTATCAATGATACTGTTCAGTGCATTAATAACTGCTCCGGTATATGCTACAATTCATCATTACAACAATGTTTGAATGGAACTTTGTGTAGCCTTAGTGACAAAATATGTAGTGTGAAATACAATACTTGGAACGGGCAGAATACTGTGATATCATATCAGTGCTACAATCCCTCATATTATGTATGTTCCAACAACATACTTTGCGAGTACTCCTATCGATCATGCAATCAACAATGTCTTCAAAACAACCAATTGTGCGTTAATAATATGACAATATGTAACACTACACGTTCGTATTATAATTACCGAGCAAATCAAATTCAGTCATGCAATGGTGTATGTTATGATTCCGTAATTGAAATATGTACCAATGATACTGTTCAGTGCATTAATAACTGCTCCGGTATATGCTACAATTCATCATTACAACAATGTTTGAATGGAACTTTGTGTAGCCTTAGTGACAAAATATGTAGTGTGAAATACAATACTTGGAACGGGCGGAATACTGTGATATCATATCAGTGCTACAATCCCTCATATTATGTATGTTCCAACAACATACTTTGCGAGTACCCCTCTCGATCATGCAATCAACAATGTCTTCGATACAACCAAATATGTGTTAATAATATGACAATATGTAACACTACAGGCCGGTATTATAATTACCAAACAAATCAAATTCAGTCATGCGATGGAGTGTGTTATAATTCCGAAGTTCAAATATGTACCAATGATACTGTTCAGTGCATTAATAACTGTTCCGATGTATGCTACAATTCATCATCACACCAGTGTTTAAATGGAACTTTGTGTAGCCTTACTGACAAGTTGTGTAATGTGAAATACGATACTTATATCAGACCGAATACTCTGCCATCCTATAAGTGTTACAATCCTATATACCAAGCATGTTCCAATAACATGATTTGCGAGCATCCCTCTCGATCATGCAATCAACAATGTCTTCTGTTCAACCAAATATGTGTTAATAATATGACAATATGTAATGTTACGCTTTCGTATTATAGCTATCAGCCGAATCAAATTCAATTATGCGACGATGTGTGTTATGATACTGCCATTCAACAATGCGCTCAACGATATATAACAATAAACTCCACGTCGACCCGTTCACCAGTGATAATCACAACAACATCTATCACGTTTGATTATCATTCATTTATGACAACGTTGGTTCGTTCGGTATGGTCGAATAAATTTGCAATTCACTGTTATATATGGATCGCCTTTGGTCTCGTACTTTTTGGTATACTTCGATTATTTACATCGTTCTCGACTAAAACCGAAAAATTGAGTTTCTCGGATTTCGATCAAATTCATATGATCAAAAGCGATCAGATTTAATCGATAAACTTCATGCTTATCAGTTTAATTTAAGATTGTCTAATGGTACAAAATCATCGAAATTGCCGACGCTATACACTACCTGATTTGAAAATCAAACTTTTTCGGTTTCTCGTATTGGAATATTTTTGAACTATTTGACAATAGAGTCGGTTAACTCACAGACTCTTTTCGCTCTTGACTAGAATTATCTAGTTAAAATCATCGGGCATAAACAGAAAATTGTGTAACTAATCATATTTGTTAATTACTAATCGATATGATCGTAGTCGATGATTGAATTCTCTATTTCTAACTATAGTAGAGCGAAGGCGTGAACTTAAAGCAATATCCACAAAAAAACTCTCATCCTCATGATTAGTCATACAGAAATTCGAGTGTGAGTGAAGTAGAAATATGAAACTCACATTACATTTTCACTTATCAGTAAATCTAATAAGTCTGTAATAGAAAAAAAAGTCAGACTCTTATCGAGTCCATTGGAGATAAATTTTGTTTTGTATCTGTTTGATTGTATAATTATGATATAATTGTTCATATTCAACCATTGTTGTCAACTGATCGATGATATTCTCTTCGATAAGTAAAATTCCAAGACATAACGACAAACGTTTAAGAATATATTTAATATTTTTCATTAAAATAAATCGTAGAAATTCTTTTGGACAGATCTAATACATATAATCAATTTCAAAATATTCCATACGTGGACAAAGATCAAAAAGAAATTGAACTTCTGCCAAATTATCTATTCGATTATTATTAAAGATAAAACTATTAATGAATCTAGATTAGGTAAACATTCCATAAGATTAATCAATGAATCAATGCAAATTTCAGAATGCTTGGCAACGGTTAATTGATTAGTTTCAGTAGGAACTATTGAAAACAAAACAGGTTCATTGTTTTATTAAACGAAACATTTTGATCTATATCAATAATTAATTTTTTGTTATTATTTTTACTTTCCATTGAAGTTGTCCTTTGAAAAAACGTCTCTTGTCAAAATACCTATTTGAAAAGATCGAATAAACGATAGTATTCATCGATCAATCATCTACATCAATGTAAACTCTGAAATACCATTGTCGTTTTGTCCAAAATGATGAATAAAATCGATTGATTTTTCCATGATATGACGTAAATTTTTTGAAATCAATCGTTCCTATCGATCAACATCAAAATGTATATAACACGTAGCAATAGAAATATAAATCAAACTTAATATCACATGTTTTTAATATTTTTTTTTATTTGATGCATAGAGTTTTTGACAAGTCAAACGAGCAATTTGAGGTGTATATGAAAGTAGCGTAATAAGTTCATGTAAATCGCATCCATGATCAATAACTAAATATTGAATATTACTTAATTGTGTGTTCGTAGCAATTGAGAGAGGAACGTCTAAAGCATGTCGGATAAATGATAATTTATTGTATTTTAACATAGGTAATTTAAAAATTATTCGATATACATTGTCGACATCATTATAACAGATAGTCAATAATGATAGATGAGTTAAAGATAATAAACTGGTAAGAATATGTATCAGTTGATTCGAATAGATATTGTATAATCGAAGTGATTCAAGACGAGTAAACGAGGCATCAATGTCAAATAGATTTAAATGATATGTCTGATTCAAGGCCAAATGAATATTTAGATTCGAAAATGCATTATATAATTCACATCCATCGAAATAATCAAGAATTTCATGGAAAGGTTCATTTGCTAAATTTTCGATGTACGTAATTGTTTTTCTATGAAGAAAATATTAATGAATATTCAAATAATACGAAATTGATCTCATTCTTTCTTACTTTTCGTTTTTTAACTTCTTCAGATGAGTCGTCAATACTTAACTGTCGTTTGATTTGATTCATGATTATTTAAAAAGAATTAAAGATTTTTTATATGCGTTTATGTCTGAATTCAATCATATTAAGGGCGCGGGTGAGAATATGAATGGGGTAAAAAACTCACATCCATCCCTCTTTTCCCCAATGATTTAAATGTAAAACTTACTCAAATGAAATGATTTGAAAAAATCGTAATAGTTTGTAAATTTCGGATGGTATTGCATGTGTGACTGAATGCTCTTCTCACGGAATAATGATTTTAGTTTGTTTTACAAAGCAAAAACATTTGTCACTTTTTTTCTTTTTTCTTCAACCACGCATTTTATTGCGAAAGAATGTGTAAAGATTGAAATGAAATAAATTTAAGTGCTGTGCAAATAAATAGTGATGATAGAAAACTGTATTCTTCATAATGAAAGATAGATAAGCCTTCGAAAAAAGAAACAAAAATCTGATAAATTAGAAGGAATTATGTTATTCATCTAAATAGATTTTATCGATAGTCGCAGATCGTCAATACCATATTGAATATGAATGTCTGATATATCCTTAATCCACCTGTACATTCATCTTCACCTACACTGCTTCTCGATTTTTTTTCTTTTCTTTTCTTTTCAATATTAATAAAAGATTTAGAAGATCGGTCGATGTTTCATTGATAATAAGTCAAAATATTATTTTAATTAAACGATAGACATTGTACAAATCGATTTTGTGTTTTTTCAGAATATTTCAATATGAGATGTCGATGAACAAAAAGTGATGAGAAATAGTTTCTATTCTTATTTATTGTTAATAATTGATTTTGCTTTTCTTTTCATTTTTCAGAAATTCGTCAGTAAGTAAAAAAGAATTGATGATACACATCTATTCAAATGTCACTTTTATTTCAATTTCAATAATTAAATTATTGTTGTTGATCGAATAAAATCTAAATGAGAATTGTGAACCAATTATGATTTTTTCTTCATGTGTTGCGTTGAACAAAGAATATTACTTATTATTTAATAAAAAAAATATTTGCGTTTCGATTTGAATAAATCTTTTTCTTTTCTTTGAAATTTTATTAATTTATATATCTATATAATAATGTTGAGTGTCTGTCTGTGTGCTATCAGGTCGAAAGCCAAAGATTCAAAAAACATCAATCAGGTTCCTTATAATTTGAAAGTGAGTGAAATCCTTGAAAGTGGGTGAAATAGGTTTAGGATGGGTAGGAGTGGGTGGAAATGGGTGAAATAGGATGTGTGTGTGGGTGTGGGTGCAGAGTTTCCAACAGAAATTACAAACAAAACGCATTGGTACGCTTTGCTTACGTAGACAAAACATAAGTGTACACCTTCTTTTTGCTTGCAAAGTGAACAAAATGTACTTATGATGTTTTTTCAATGTAAAAAACAGAAATAATTCTACTTTCTTCATGAATACTTTGTATAAATACTTGTTAAATAGCAAACATATGAGTGATAAATAAGCATATCATTTCGCAATCTAACTCTGATATTTTAGAATCAAGCTGTAAATCATTTTCGCAAAATGTATACCGTACACTGTGCTTTTGCGAGCAAATTGTAAATCAGAGTGTAAAAGAAAAATTGCAGTTGTTCAGCATATTTTGCTTATACTGTGTATAACTGCTATTGGAAACTCTGGTGTGGGTGTCTTCTCTTTTCTCAACCACACCCTCAAGATGGTTTGTAGTGTTGAAATTTAATCGCTAAAACTTGTCTCTGTTTACAAAGCGAAATGTGTAACTGTAAAAGAAACACGATCGTATGTCAATTGTAGAATTTTGTGTGCTGCATCTTTGATGTAATGTTTTATTTTTGAAATACAAGATATTAATGGATATCTATAAATGTCACTTTTTTACCTTTTATGTAATACATTATAGAAACTACGATGTATCTAATATAAGAGAAATAATAATTCACAACAAAGCATAAGACAGAAATCTCAAACGTTGTAACAGAATATTTGAACTCAAACTAAAAGTATAAGAAGAATCGGAAGAAAAAACTTTTGCAATGTCCTATATAATTTAATATTTATTAATTTATCTTTTATTCTACATCAAAAAATTATTCATATGAAATGATTTTTATCTAATAAGATTTGAAATAATTTTTATAGAAATAACTTTAGATGTTGTTGAATAAAATTATAATAATATTCATAGAAATTAATTGATATTTTCTTTTTGTCTTTAGTATTATTGAAATTTTCTTTGTTACTATAACAAAAATGGTCTAATTAATTATTTTAATAATCTTTTATTTTCAAAAGATAGTATTAAATAATCGTTGATAAAAATTCAATTTTTACATATCTTTATTCAAATAATTATCAATGTTTAAAATTCTACAGAATAGTAAATAAGATTTATTTATTTAGGAATTTTTAACAAAAACAATTAATAAGCGTGTGGATGTGAGTATACGATTGATCTGATCAAGCAGACCCACATCCTCACTAACGCAGCAACATCACTCCCACACACACGATCACTAAAGCAACAACAAACTTCCCCACCAGCTCTAAAACCCCCACATCTACACGCCCTTTAGCAGTAACTTTAAGAATACCATCGTTATCAATTTCAAAAGTAACTTCAATTTGTGGTACACCTCGTGGTGCTGGTGGAATATCAGTAAGATCAAATTTACGTAAAAAATAATTGTCTTTTGTCATTCGATGTTCACCTTCGAATACTTTAATTTCTACAACTGCTTGATTGTCAGCAGCAGTGGATAAAATTTGACTTCTTTTGGTTGGAAGAACTGTATTACGTGGAACAATTTTTGTCATTACACCACCAACTGTTTCAATACCCACAGTTAATGGATTTATATCGAGGTAAACGATACCACCAGTACCTTGTTCACCTGAATAAAAGCCGGCTTGAAGAGTAGCACCATAAGCAACCGCTTCATCTGGATTAATATCACGGAAAGGTTCTTTTCCATCAAAGAAATCTTTGACTAATTGTTGAACTTTAGGTATACGTGTTGAACCGCCGACTAGAACAACTTCTGCGATATCTTTCTTTTTTAAATCAGCATCTTCTAAAACTTTTTGTATTGATTTTATTGTTGAAAGGAATAAATCCATATTTAATTCTTCAAATTTTGCACGTGTTAATACTTCACTAAAATCTTCATTATTATAAAATGATGTGATTTCAATTGTTGTTTGATGTTGATATGATAAGGTTCGTTTAGCCTTTTCAACTTCACATCGTAATTTCTGTACAGCTTGTTTATCTTTTCGAATATCTTTACCAGTTTTCGTTTTAAACAGTTTTATGAAATGTTCCATAACACATTCATCAAAATCTTTACCACCTAAATGTGTATTACCATTAGTTGCAACAACTTCAGTTACACCATTATCGACAATTACAAGTGATACATCAAATGTGCCACCACCCAAATCAAAAACAACAATATTTTTTTCTTGCTTATCATTAAAACCATAAGCCATAGCAGCAGCTGTTGGTTCATTTATTAGATGCACGTAATTTAGACCCGAGATTGTTGCAGCATCTATAGTAGCTTGACGTTGAGCATTATTAAAATAAGATGGGACACTAATAACAGCATGTGTGACTTTATAGCCAAGATAGGCTTCAGCAATTTCACGCATTTTACCAATTAACATAGCAGAAATTTCTTCTGGTTCGAAATATTTCCGCTCTGATCCAACGTTTATAGCTATTGTTGGTTTAGATTCACGATTGATAATAGTAAATGGAAAATTTTTAATATCTGATTGAACACTTGGATCATTAAATTCACGACCAATAAGACGTTTAATATCAAATACGGTATTTTCGGGATTTGACGTTAATTGATTTTTAGCTGCATCACCAATTAAACGTTCACCTTCCGCAGTGAATGCAACATATGATGGTGTTATACGACTACCTTGATCATTAGGAATGATTTCTACACGACCATTTTTAAAGACACTAACACTTGAATAACTTGTGCCAAGATCAATAACAAGTATTGTAAGAAAATCTTTCTTTCCACTTGCATCTTCTTGAGCAAAAGTAATTGTAGCCAATATGAGGACAATCAATGATATGAACTTGAACATGATTGCTATGATAAACTAGAAAATATTTGTTTCATATTTTGGTAAAGTTGTCATAAGCAATTATTTTCGTGATCCTGAAGGATATTACATTTGGTTTGTTCTGATACTTTCCGTTTTTCTCTTGCCTTCTATCGACATGATTCATATACGAACCAACCAACCAAAACTCGCAATATTTAGAATAACGAAAAAATTTGCATATTACATCTTTTCAAAAGGCAATGATTTCACCCGATTAATACCATTTTGAGAGTATGGGTGTGAGTATACTATTCATCTCTCTCGTTGAGAGTGTTTTTAATTTATTAAACTTGGCTAAACATTAGCAAGAAAAAATTTCCAACAAACAATGATAAGATCGAACTGTATGCGCACTTAAACGATAGTTGTAATAGTAGAAGAAGCAGGTGTTGGTTTTTGTATACAGAACAAGGTGAAAAGAAAAAAACCATTAAATGTAAACATTTTAACAACATCAAAAGGTAACAGCGCAAAAGATATCAAATTCTACGTAAATCAAGTTGGTAAAAAGATAAAGTATCCAAATGGGAGACTACACCGATAAAAACTGTGCAAGAATAGACATTAAAAAAGTTTATAAGGGAATACGGAAAGGTTCTTCAGCATCTTCATCTAACAGTAACCATGAGTTTGTAAAAGGTTTTATCATATTCATCAACGCTTGAAAGGATTATTATACGTTGCACTTTTATAAGCTCTGAAAAAAGGTTCATGTAAGTCATAGACCCATCCATAAAAATTTTAAATGACATGTACCCAGGCAGACAAAACTAGGGTTGCCAAACCCTATTGATCTGACCAGAGGACCTCTGATTTTTCTTGATTTTTAATTCTTTTCTTAAATATTTTGAAGTATTCGGGTGTGCAGGTGTGGTTGGTTACGGTGCGAGTGTGGGCATTTAGTTCGCGTAGAGATCCATACGCACACCCACACCCATCGTATAGATCACAAGGGCGTGAGGGAAGCTGGAAATCGAAAAAATGAAGAGTAGGCAGAAAACTCATCTGAAGGATGTGGCGATAAGAGGGGAGTGAGTGAGTATATATTAATCATATTCACATCCTATTAAATCCTTTGAGTTCCTTAGATTCTGTCGATTCGAATTGATTTATAGATTCACAAATCTTCAAGATTTGAGAGCTCACGGAACTTGGATACATCTCTTTTCCCCAATAATTGAAATGTAAAACTTACTCGAATAAAATTGTTTAAATGAAATAATCTGAAAAAATTGCAATAGTTTGTAAATTTCGGATGGTATTGCGTGTGTGCGTGACTGAATGCTCCTTTTCGCTGAATAATTCGTTTGGTTTGTTGTAGAAAATAACAACATTTGTCACTTCTTTTTCTTCTTTTTTTCAACCACGCGTTTTATTGCGAAAGAATGTGTAAATATTGAAGATCTACAATACATAAGAAATGTTATTGGAAAGAAAGAAAGAAAAAAAGAATGCATATAAAATGAAATGGATATGTGTTGTGCAATTTAATATTACTGATAGAAAACTGCATTCTTCATGATGAAACATAAATATGTCTTCGAAAAAAGAAATAAAAGTCTGATGAAATAGAAGGGATCATATAATTCATTTAAATGGTTTTTATCGACAGTCGTAAATCGTCGAAACATTTTAGTAGATAGAACATTTCGTCGACACTATGGTGAGAATGTCGATGACTGTCAGCATCATATATGAAGAAAGAAAGGGAAGGAAAGCGAAGACAAAAAACAAAGGAATATATGTGCTAATGGAGAAAAAGATACCCTTCGTGGAACTTGAACCCACATCTTCTGCTATCCGACCAAATGTCCTAATCCAGTTAGACTGGAAGAGACGTCTTAATCTTCGTGTAGCGTCGGTGATGCTATAATCCGACGCTAACATATTCTTATGCATTGATAATGATTGATTTTGTTTTTCTTTACATTTTCAAACATGTGTCATAAAGTAAATAAGATTTGATGACGCACATTTATTCAGATGTTACTTTTATTTTAATCTCAGTAATTAAATTATTGTTATTGATAGAATAAAATCTAAATGAAAATTGTGAACGAATTATAATTTTCTCATCATGTGATGAGCTGAATGGAGAATTTTATTTATTATTTAATAAAAAAGATATTTGTACTTAGATTTGATTAAATCTTTTTCTTTTCTATGAAATTTTATTAATTTCTATATAAAATAATATTGTAACGTTTCATATTATTTATTGTAAATATTCACTTTTTCTTGTCATTGTTGAATATGTGAATAAAAATTCTCTAAAATAATTCAATTTCTTCAAGTGACATCATCAGTTTTGAATAGATAAAGTTTGAAATTCTTTTTTGAAGGTCATCTATTCAATTTACATTAGTAATTGAAGAGATATGTTGATTATTAAAACCATCTTGAGAGTGTGGGTAATTAAAATTAAACCATCCTCACTCACACCCACACTCTATTTTATTAATGTAAAAAACCAACATTACCACCACGAGATAAAATATATTACAAAAGATTTTTATCATTATCATAGATTCAACCGCTTCCTATACTTATTTATTGACAAAAGATTTAAAAAAATTAAACAATATTTATTTATCACTACATATTTTCTTTATAATGTTCATAATGATAATTTTATATAAACTCATTCTATTTAAATATTTTTCATATTGAGAAATTCTGTGTAATTCGAAGTAAATATTTCAAGTTCATTACATGATCGCCGAATACACATAATATAACGTCTTTATTGTAGGATTCCATTCGGGTACTATAATGTTGTTTAGGTGTTGCATTGAGTGATAAAGTCTCGTTGAAAATAGAGAAATCGTAGTTTTTTTTTGATTAAATGATCAAGAGAACCATTTGGAGCAGAACGTTGAATAGCGCCACCCTGTAGTATATATAATATAGCGATAAAAAATGATGAAAATGTATATAAATTTTATTTTCTTCGTTGTTGTAGTATACATCGATCGTGGAAGAAAAATGGTTGATGTATGAGTAAGTATGTAAATGGTAAGGTCTTGTCTCGATTTTATATATACGTCGATCGTTGATGAAGAAGAAATCTATAAAAAATAAACGACTTTCATGGTTGAAGACACACAGACATTGTTTTATTGCTCATATACAAGGACAGAGAGAAATTGTTTTGTTGCTCGTAGATAAGACGAAAGAAAAAAAATCATTCTATCGTTCGTGGACAAGGACAGAGAGAAATTGTCTTTTACTCGTGAACAAGAACGGAAAAAATGTTCGTTTGCTCTTAGGGAATAACACAGACAGAAATTTTTATAGAGAATGAAATTTATAGTATCATACAATGCATTTCGACTACGTTCTGAATCTAAAACTGTTACCACTTTTAAAATGAACGTCGTCACAAGTATAAGTAAGATATATTTCAATTAATCATAAATTAGAAATCTAGTCTCATTTTTAATATCTTTATGACCATGAGCTATGAAAATCAATTGACATAGAAAAAATTAGATCAAAATGGAAAATAAAATAGTAAAACTGCGTGGGTGTATATTAAAAAAAAATTCCACATAGCTTGAGTAAATAAATTAAAGCAAAAAGTTCTTCTTATATTCTAATTTGTTCTTTTCTAATGATATTTATAAATTGAGAAGATCAGTATTACAGCCATATATTTAAGAAACAGGAAAATGCACTACGACGACCTGAAGTATAATTGAACGAGACATCTGCGTACATTGTTTCAGGCAACTGTTCCTTGTAACTTTTGAACAATTGTTCATCTTCCGTTTTTCTTTTATAGTAAAAACTGTTTGATAATTTTATCACCATTCTGAACCGTGATAGATCCAGAAAAGAATTTCGAAGAAATTGTAGAGACTCATTGAATGACATGAAATAATTACCAAATATTCGATAATTACCTTCAATTTCCAATGTCTTCAAATTTGGAAATGTTTTTGATAATTCAAACAGAAATATTGAATTGTAACAGCTGTCATTGCGCTGCGGATCTATTTTTAAATGTAAAGAATGAACTCGTTTTCTCACGGGTATCATAATCATTTTATTCAATTCTTCTATTATATTCTCTGCATTTGTTTTCGTAGTTAAACTCAACCAATTTAAATTTGGTGATTGAGCTATAATTTTCGGTACGACTTGATATATGTCATCATGCTCGATCTCTTCGATTGCCTGTTCAAAATATATTTTTCGCAGATTCACAAGTTTTAGATCCGAAGATAATTTGAACCTAGTCAATGGCTCTTTGTTACCAATGCGAATTGTGTGATACTTATACAAGCTTTCGAAAGTAAGACGTGAACCAAGGTCAAAACGTTCAGATATAGTATCAAATGGTCGAGGTTTTAGAAGTGTAAATAGGGAGTAGCTGAAATCTGGTAGTACTTTGACGTTGGGAAAATGAGATTGTGAATTAGGTTGGTGAATCGTTTTAATAAAATACTGAAAACTTTCGAGGCGAGTAAAGTCAGATACGAGACTTTGAACTTTGTCAAAATTAGAAAAGTCTTTAGCAGGATTGATCATAATCAGATTTAACGATAGAAGTTGATTGTCGAACGCTTTTAATAATGTTTGTATTGTTTCGAAAGTTATTTCAGTGCTGCGATCTCTACATTCTATTTTCCCACATTCGATATGTAACTTATCTAATGTTTTTGGCACGTTTAAGATATTCACTGTTTCTAAAGGGTAAAATTCTACTATTGATAATTTCAATTCTTCAATATTTGGCATTGCTTCGAACAATTCTTCAAGTGCTTGAAAATCCGTACAGGTAACGGAGAGACGACAGGCCACTACGGTAAATTAAAGTAAGATCTTTTAGGTTAGATGATGTAAAACCAGAAGAAATTTTATAAAATGTGTCACGTTCTGCACTAGAAATTGAAAGTTCAGTTAAAGTTCGTATTGATAAAGCTTCGACGACAAACTCATTTAGCCCATCGAAGAAATACTCCCCATTATTTTCGAGTAGCAATGATTTCAAGTTAACCAATTGACAAATGTATGGTTGAAATAAGTGAAGTTGTTGAGATCCAGTGAGTTTAAGTGATCGGATGGAATGTGCACGTAACGGAAATATATTCTGACAAAGCAGTTGGAATTGACAATAGGTGGGTCTATTATTTCCTATTAGGTCAATATCACACAAATATGATTCAATAATGCGTTGAAATCGTTGTTTTAAGTTTGAAAATCCATAGATCAAGTCGAATGTGTGAAAGTAACTAAATATGAGTAGTAGTAGCTCATCTGGCAGTGCTTCAAGCATTTCTATGCTAGAAAGTAAAATCAGTGGTAATGTCGTGAGTTAAACACTAAAATACTTTGCCTTATCACAAAATTCAGATACAATAACGGTAGAAAGAAATATTGTGCAATAATAATAATAATACACGACGATATAATGAGTAATTTAATATGCATATATATTAATCTCTGTAAATTATTATTTAAAAAGATGTCGTTAGGGTGTGGGTGTGGGTGCGAATGGGTATGGGCAAGTGAATTTTATTCTGTCAACTACACACCCACCCACCAAAGATTAAAATCAAGTATTGAAGCACGTCAAGAGTTTGCTAGAATTCTTGACCGAACATTGAAAATTATCATATACCGAAAACTTTTACATGTAAATACTCAATCTTAAATAAACCATTGAACTTCTTCTTATGTCTATCATACTTTTTTAATAGAAAATATCAATAAATTAGAGAGTTGTATATGATAAGAAACTTATTCAAGCTGAGTAACTTTCTTAATCAAAAAGATATTTTTTTAGAATACATATAGTTAAAATGTATTGTAATAATTGAATTAATAGTTGTGATCATGAAATATTGATCACTAAAAAATGAGTCGATGAGTATAATCTTAAAGCTAACAATGTATCATATAAACGATGGGTGTAATCGATACTATCATCCTCCACATGCTTTGATTGCAACTAAACATCTATGCCTCTTTTTCGTTCTTTACAATCGATATGAATTGACTCATCGATAAATACAGAACAGGAGAATATATTGTGATTGCACATTATGAGTATAACTACAAAATAAATATAATCAGATAAATGAAATGAAGAGACGAGCCGCGATCTTAAGTTAAATCTTCAACTCACTGCTAATGAGCCTGGAGCATAAGCACCGGTCTTTCGGGACCATGATTTAGAGTTAAATCGATACTCATCATACTTTTTTTTCACACAAATGATCTCTTTTTACTGTTATTTTAGCGATATACTTTGGTAAGAAGTGAATAACTGCTATTTATTTATTTTATTTCAGTTTTGAAACACCAATAAGCATTGTTGATGATGTTGCTATTTTCTTATCTTATGAGTATAGAATGAATCTAAATTGTAGCAATGCAGCGAAAATAGAGAAATGAGATGGTTTATGAATATTGTTATGTCTTATTTGAATAGAATGCTTTCAAAAAAGAAAATATCGAATAATTCTAACAATAAAAGAATCAATATTTTAAAAAAAGAAAGAAAATCTATGTTATTTTTGACAATAAAATCAAGAAAAAAATTATTTTCGTAGTGTCTTTCTAGTAACGCTGAGTGGTTCTCTCGCCGATCCTCTCTTGAAACAAACAAAAAAAAACAGTTATTTAGTAGAAAAGACAGAAAATAATCAGACATGCAATTGATTAAGTTACATACAACTCCAAATTTATTTTAGCACTTGGAATAATGGAAGAAACAATATATAAAAGAATACGTAGCAAATATTTTCGATTGTAGTATTTTTCATAAGCAGCATAATTTAATTTTAACTTAATACAGTGAAAAACAGTATAGAATTTTCATTCAGACATTAATCTTTAACTTTTGAAAATGATCATAAATAAGTAAAAAACTGATTTATTACTCTTTGTGGCTTGTCTTATTAACAGAAAAGTTAATACATACTTGATTTTTATTACAAAAAGTATAACATAAAATCATCTTCAATAAACTTTATTTCTTGAGGGTGTGGGTGTGGGTATCTATCTTCTCTCAACCCACACCCACCCTTAAGTAACACAGCGCATTGCTGCTGATTCTCTACTGATAAGATATGATAATGGCGATCGCCAATCTTAAGATAAGATAAAGATCCTAGAAAATCAACTCTAAACAGGAAATATTATCCAAATTAGCCCCCCCCCCCCTTTTACTGATATATATATATATACCTTTTATTCATAGATATCTTTTTTATTATCATTATGTCAATCCATTGGTCATCTAACTGGTCAGCAACATTCACAAACAATTAACCCTCATAGTACAAATCAAAATAAAAGAAATGAAATCAACAAAGAATTCTTGCTAAAATTAAAATATCACAAACACAACATTCTAATGCTGCTAAGCAAATCTTACTCATTTCTGTTTCTTAATTCAATACAACCTTCAAGTTACTATCGATACACTTCAATATTTCATATTATTCAATCTATTCCTCATAAAAATATTTTTTGAACACTTAGTTGTGAAGCATTTATTCCATCAGATGAAATTAAGTTCTGAATACCACACGTTCTGATTATCTTTTGACAAATCCTGTTTCCATGCGAACAAAAAATCTTTTATTTCAGAATAGAACGAGACAATACAAATTTGAACAACATCTACTTAAAGTTTTTAGATTAAATAAGACATTTAAAGCATATCAATTAATTGTTGTGTGTTGAACTCACACACCTGTTGCTATCAATCTTGTTCCATGTACACCATTAATTACATGAGGTAGTTGTCTTGGTGACATACGGAAAACTTTGGTTTTAATCAGTTTGCGTAATTGTAGATATTGACTTAAAGATGCGAATGGAAACAGGAAAACGACAAAGTAAGTCAAAAAGTAGAAATAAAGATCAACTTGAACACCATAATCTGGTGATAGACCAAATACATGAGAAATATAAATAATAAAGGTTGGTAGATTGACACTGACACTAAAACCAGATACCAAACATAACTGAATAATCATTCGTCTTTGTTTACGCCATTGAGGAGATTGATGAATACGTCGTTTTTGCCATTGAACACGTAGAATAAGGGCAATGCTAATAATACCCTCCACGATAACAGATGCACAGTCATTAACAATAAAATCCCACATGCCAAAAATGCCATAGGATTGATAACATGGATAGTCACCACACACTGGTACTGTGTATTCATAGACGTTTTCACACGGTATGAAGAAAATAGCAGTGATATAAAAGATAACAATATATGCCAGTAGAATAATTAAAGGAAGATAATGGAAAAGAAAGCGACTTCTTCGATTTTTCATCCATCGATCATGAAATATTAACATGTGTCGTTCAATGGCAAGCCAAGTCATGAGTAGGAGGCCTCCGTTATAACAACCAAAATCAGCCAACCACCAAATGAGACAAACAATTGGATTAGCTGGATGAACTGAACCATAGTGATAAAAACTTAGATGAAAATTGATATCCAGCAGTTGAATAGGAAGATTGATGAGAAGTATAAGGAAAATTGTATGATTTTGCAATGCATATCGTCGAACTCGATCGATGATAATGTGAATAATGATGCAGAAAGAACAAATGGTCGATGGAACATTGAATAGAAGCAGGAGCCAGAAACGAACCACACGCGGTAGAGGAATTTCTGAGTTGGCAAACGTGGCAGCATCATTATCAGAGCTGTTGTTTGTAGACATGACTAAATAGTAATGAAATATCTCATAACAAATGACAAGTGTTTCCTGAGAGAGAAAGAGAAACATTTTTCATCCGCTTTTCTCTCAATAAAATTTGTCAACTAAAATCGTAAAGTTAATCTGACAGATTTGTGCAAAAATGAATTCAAATTCAGGTGAGTTATCGGATGTAAACTTATTTCCTAAAATAACTGTCGTACAGACATTAATGCGAATAGAAAACAACGTAGCGGTGTATAATCTTATGTTCGTCATTATTAATATAAAGATGACATTAAGAATCTCTTTTATTCCATTCAAATAATTAAATCACAATTTTTCTGAATCGAAGGTGGAGAAATCTTTTTTGTAGGAATTCATTTAACATGTGTCGTATTGAAATTTGAAGATTAATTTCGTTTCGTAGATGATGAAAAATGATGTCCTCAACACACCTCATATGTCGAAAGGATTTGTTAAAAATTTAGATGAGTTTTCGGGTTCCTTTTATTTCTCTTCTATTTTTGTCAATGTTAAAGACGGCGTGCCATTGAATATATGTATTTAGAGAGTGAGATGTAATGTAACTTTTCACGAATGATTGAATCATTTGTTTGAGAATCAGTGATTACAGAAGAAATTTAAAATATGAAATAGTTTCTATGTGAATCTTCATTCTTTGGACAGATTCATTTACTAATGTGCATCATCTACATAAAAATTGAAATGAGTATTAACATCAAACTCTGCTTTCTGTCAGATTTTTTCTTGACATCTGGAAGAAGATTGTTAATCTTTTCCGCCTTTAAATAATCTTTCATGTTCAAGTGATAGACATTTCTTTAACACTGATAACAAATTTTTCACAAATAAGAATATTTCTTCAGATCTCTCAGATAAACGCTACCTAATACGAATTCGAATATAAATGGATCACCACCTGCATGCGATCAACTCGAAAATAACCTATGAACATCACTCTAGATTGTGTGGGTATAGGTCAGACAAGGAACAAATACTCTCACCGTCGCCACCCTCAACATCTCATGATTTTCTATCATTTAAGCGATACTGCTTTTCAAAGAAATATTCAATGTCGGATGAGATCATTTTCTATATTTCACTAAGTATTCAACAAAATGAATTAAGGTGACTGTTGAAAAACAGAAGAAAATACAGTGAGAGCCGTAAAAAGCACGCATGTTTTTGTTTTTACACATAAACCAATTCATTGAGTAATGACAATGTTATAGCCAAAATATTAAACCCTGTAAAAAAACGTAGAAAAAAAATTATGTAATGCGTTTTAAGTAATTATTACTTGTTTATACACCACAAACACGCAGTAAATCCGAAAAAAAAATCACGTAGACTGTATTCTTCTACTAAAAAAACAAGCTATGCTGTTTATCTTGAGGGTGAGAACTAAGTAAAAGAAAATCAACAAACAACTAATGCATTTCTTGTAACTTTTAATTTGATTTAGTTTTTAATGTTTTTTTAATATTTAAGTGAAGAAAATGAGCAAATAAATGGATTGAAATAAATAAAAATAACGAGTAGAATAAAAAAAGATTTTTTGAATTTATTTATTTTAATTTAATTTTAAACACAATAAATTTAAAGCGATGCGTTTCGAATTTTTCTTCAGGCTATATAAGTATCTACTTTCAATTCTACCCTTGTCCTCTACTCTCACCTAATAGGATAGTATCTATTCTCATTGACTGAACCGTTACTATTCCATTGCAAGATCTATTTCTATTTTTTTAAATTGAATATTTATCAACAATTATTAGTTTTATCAAATATTGAAAGTTTATTTTTGGATTAACAATGTAAATATTTCTTTGATACAACATTGGAAGGGTGAGGGTCAGAATGGAGTTGTGCATGAGTAAGAGTACCGGATGTGGGTGAGTGTGGGTACTCTATTCTTTCAACACCCACACCCAGTGAAAAAATTTAGTTTTCTAGGTAAAATATTGAAAAATACTAAGTAAATAAATAATTTTTGTGAAGTAAAAAATTTGATTGAACAATTAATCGATTAGCGATCCTTTGGTTGCTTTTCAGTGTGAGTATAATGCGAATACAATACCCATACCCACCCATCCTCAAAAATTGCCATTGAAACTTCTGTAAGATGAGTAACTTTATATAGTCGGTTGGATAAGACTGAATATTAGAATACTTGAATCACACATTATTTATTTGTAAAAAGCTCAGACTATATATAGGGGAGTGGATCGTACATTCTTAGGAAATGTCCATGGGGTGATCGAGGTAGAGCGGCTGGAATATATCTCAACAAACACAATATACATATGAAAAGATGACAAGTAGAAAAAAAGAAGGAAAAAATCTAATATATGTGATGGACAGAAACGAAAAAATTCAAGTATATGTGATGCGCGTAAAAAGAAACGAATGGAAAATGACGACTTGCCTGTCATTTATTTTTACTTATCAAATTTATGTTTTTTACCGACAATTCCATAAATTTACCTACTAATTAATATACTTAGAAAAATTTTAATGACCGAGAAATATTATTTTAAATGAGCATTCAATAAATTTATGAAACATTCAACTTATTTACCGAATACATACAAATTTTACTTAGCAGAAATTAACTTAGCATTTATGTATTTTTACCTAGCACTTAAATAGGTGCCTTAATTAAATGAGGCACAAATTTTACTTTATTTCAGTTTCTACTGACTTTGTAATAATTAAAGTTAAATGATTTAATGTTTCCAACACACCATCTACAATGTGCACTAAGTTTTAGTTCAATGGAACATTGATAGTTGCAAGGAAACTTTTAAAATCCACTAATGACACGACAATCAAACTCATACAATACGCTACACGTGCAACATATTCAGAGTTTTATTCAAGAAAAATCATTTAGCAAATTCATGATACATCATGATGATTGTCACTCAGTTTGATCTTTTTATTAATATGTTCGTATTCTCTCGATCGGATGATACCTTTGCCAAGCCATATACTGATTGAAGATTTCTCTCGCTTGTATGTTGAACCTCCTCTGTATTTTACAAGCCATCCAAAAATTGCGTCTATGTTTGATGGACAATGGAAGTGGAATGTAATACTTGATAAATGAGGAAGTCGTTTAAGAACAAGTTTCATTTCATTGACATGCTTAATTGATGTTGTCAAGTATTTGACATGATAAGGAATCATACAACAAATATTATCAGCAGTCCATAAGTTGTACATATGAGAATCGTAACTGATACCCAGCGATATCAAAGAAGATGTTCTTTGGAGAAAATTGGCGATACTAGCTCGTATATTTCGTCTTGTTTTATAAACCGTTTGACCTGTGAATTTGATTTGAACAATTGTTGATAGATCGACTAGTGTCGCAACGGTTAGTATCCAGTTTGATGGTAAGTTGTCCTTGAAATTAATTTCCAGCTTTTTTACTTTACGACATAAACGATGATTTGTTGTTTCATTCTAGAAATGTAAAGTCATCAATAAACTTCCAACTCTGAATTTCGAGCGCTCTCATTTTCCTATCGCATGTGTGAAACTGAACCGACCTATTTTTGTAGATGAAAAGAAATATTATACTCACATTTTCCTGTATTAATAGTTCAGTGTCTGAGAAAATTAATTTCAATGTAGTCATATAATCTATTCTCGATGCACCATTATCAATCGATTGAGGTAAAGTAAAGAGAAATATTTTGTCTGTATTCAAGTCATAGATAAGAGAAGATACACAAAATGGAATTGGATACAGTTTGTTGGCATCAGTTGAATATTCACAAGTAACAAACCATTTGTTTTGTTCGAGCCAGAATAGTGTTTGATATGATGCGATAAGTGATTGAATGTCGGCAAGATCATGTGAAACATCTTTTGTTATGCACAAGAAAAACTCGAAATTGATTAATAATGGAAGATTTGTTTGAATAAAATTTTTCAATCGGTTACCATCGACCAATTTTTCATAGATCATCAGTCTCATATGAGTTAATGAAGGCAGTAGGGAAAGAAATAGTTCAAGATCGTCGATATCAGATGTCATCTTTTCTATAGCTAACGAAATGACTTGCCGAAAAGGTGTAGACATATATGGTAAACTATTCTGTGCATTAAATCCATCATAGAGTTCGCCTATAACTAGCGTACATAGGTGAGATAAGCAAACAAGAATCGTGCATATCTCAACAGGAGTCACAGGAGCTTGAATTTTTAGATGTTGAATGGTTGATTGTTTAGGCCAAATCATTTTTTCTAATTCATGCCATTGAAATTCAAGTAATTCGAGTTTAACTAAATTTGTTTCAGTGATAATCATCGAGAGAACTTTCATTCTCATTGTTTCTTTATGTAGAGTCTTATGTTTTTCAACTGTGAATGAGAATGATCTAAGTGAAATCGTATTGAATTTTGTAAAAATCGCTTCTAAATCATAAGCTGAAACTTTAATTAAAGTTACTGATTGAAGTCGAGTAAATTGATGAGCCTTAAATAGTGAAAGAAATATTTCAACTTGTCCAGATGTATCTTGATCATCAGAGAGTGTCAATGAAATAATATTCTCAGGATTAATATATCGACAAAACAGATGAAAATCAGGTTTTGCAATTCTTTGAAAATCAATAGTCCATCGATCATATTTGTTGATTATTGCTCTGAATCGTCGACACATGTCGCGAAGTGAGAAAAATATTGTTTGTCCATCGATATAATAGAAAATATGATGTAGAATTTCGACAGGTAATGTTTCCAATGTTATCTTCTGTTCGCTCGACATTGTGGTGGAGAAAGAAAACGTTTGATAATTATTCTACGCTGTTTTATAAGCGAGTCTTGCACAATTGATGAAAAATATGTAAAAGTTCTTCTTTTCTTCATGAGAGAAATTGGAGAATGACAAAAACAAACGACAAAAAAATCATGCGTCTCGTTGTTGACACATTTTGAAAGTATAGAAACATGCTGACTTGCTCAATTACTCTCTAGATGTCTTTGGTAGCTGAATATAGTTTTAAAAACGAGTGTGTTTTTCGGTTATGAAAAAATGCTGAGTTTATTCGTCTGTAAAAGTTATTCAAAACGTTTTCTTTGCATTGCTTATTGAAATCGCCTTCGATTTCTATCCAAAACAAGTAGTCAACCAGACTTAATGAAATCTGTTTCGTTTCTTTTGTTCGTCATTGGTATTCCTGTGCACTATATGAAATACAATTAAAATGAAGTCAACAATGTAAAGATTAATAAACACTATCTTGAAGGTGGGTGTGGGGTGAAGCAAGGACACCCACATCCCCAAGATTATGACAGCTATGTGTAAAAGAGGAGATGTTGGACTGATGTAGACAGAATGAAAAAATAATATCAAGATAAGAGTATAACAACACATTTGATGCTGGAGATAATATTTATTATCTTGTCCTACTTACGCGAGTAATAGACAAACAGAAAGTAGCTTCGAACAGTAGTGTATTCTTTTTTTTGCGTCTAAGTTTCATCTGAAACATAATATGCACGTCAATCAAGTTTATGTAGAGCTTGTTAATGTAAGTAATGGACCACACAAATGGTGGCATCACCGCTGGGTTAAAATAATCGGCATTTCCGTTATTATTTTAATAGTTTTTGCTGTTATTCTTACTCTGTTATTAAACTTCGTCGTCTTTGCACCGGAGAAATCAGAACCTAGTACCACCACCACCACAAGATCATCATCACCACTAACAACAACAACAGTATCAACACCACCGTCACAAATAACAACATCACTGATGACACCAACCGCAACTTTACCACAAACAACAACAACAACAACATCACTGGTGACATCGACCACAACTTTAACACAAACGCCATCTACGACGACAACTCAGCAGTCTGGTAAGCTTCAGAGTAATGTTTTCCGATCTCCTTAAACGGTACTTTTAAATCAGATATGAATAATTGCTTTGCATCCAACAGTTTTCTTTATCTAACTAAAAGTTACACGGAAAGAATAGTAATCTTGTCATGAGTGATTCAATCGTTATCTCAAGAAGAAACGAAGATGCAATAATTCTTGCATTCGCTATTTTTCATCACGATCAAAGATCACATGGTTTTATTGACATCGATACAACGAAATCTACTTTTTCTCTTCATTTGATATCAATACATATCCTGCTTTTAAGTGAAAATAAAATAAAAAAATCATTTAGTCTCAAAAGAAACATACTCATATCTGTTGCGCACGTTAATCAATTTGCCTTTTCTCTTTTCGTGAGTAAATATAAATAGCTGTATATAATAAAAAATGCATTAATTCTTATAAACACTGCAACGACAAGTATAAAATATACACCAGCTTCATATGTCATCCTTGCATACGATTCTTTATCAAAACTGCAAAACTTATTTTCGTATCGTATCAAGAACGATTTTTTGATAGCAAATTTGAGATTTTTTGCATTCCCAAAAAAATTCAAAAAACTTAGTATCAAAAGTAAGAAAAGATTTTCATTTTACAAAATTTGAAGCTTTTCATTCTGCAAGAGACAGTCTTTCGAGAATGAAGACAATCAAATGTTTCTGTCTAGAATGGTCTGCTACCGGTAATATGAATAATGCACGCTATCATCACACAGCATCTGTATTATTAAATGGAAAAGTATTAGTTACTGGAGAAATTGATAATAACGGTGTTTTAAGTAGTGCTGAGCTGTATGATCCATCAACAAGTATTTGGACAACGACTGGTAACATGACAAATGCACGACAACAACATACAGCATCGGTATTTTCGAATGGAAAAGTATTAGCAACGGGTGGTATCAGTTTTTTCGGTAGTTTTTTAAATAGTGCTGAGTTGTATGATCCATCAACAGGCACTTTGACAACTACTAGTAACATAACTAATGCACGATATTATCACACAGCATCTTTATTATTAAATGGAAAAGTATTAGTTACTGGTGGATCCGATAGTAACGCTAATGCTTTAAATAGTGCAGAATTATATTAATTATTTCAAACAAATTAATGTGACGTACGCGAACTTTTTCCTTCCACATTTTTACTGAATTATCACACACTTCAATATTGTATCCGAAATAAAAATAAATATCTCTTTTTTCTGCTCTTATATATTAGTTTATTATGGTTAACAAGACTTACAAGTGATACGCTAACTCTAATTATCCTTTCAATTAGATGCTCTGTTAGTTTTACAGTGTAATTTTTCATATTATTTAATTATTTTGATAGTATTCATCGGATTTAAGATGTATGATCATTGATACATTTCGCTTACAAAAAGACTTTGACGCAAGTTCATAAGTGACATAGATGAATATATGTGTAAATAACAACACCAGCAGATAATCTAAAACAAAATCTATAATCAGAATAAATTTTATTAGCATATAAAAGTATTTAGAAATGTTTCAGAGTATGATAGTCTTCGAAGTGCGAAACAAACTATACAAGATATTCGTGTAATATTTCCTGTTGAATTTCATGACAATCATGATTCGTAAATGTTGCCATATTTAACGAAAATTTTTACTTAATAGATATGAATAATAAATTGTTATGTAGAAAAGACACTTGTAGAATGATAAGAATTGGTTTTGTGAAATTATATATCGAAAGATATAAGTCACTCCTTGTTTAGAATCGACAATTTTATTTATACTAGAAAACACATTGAAAAAAAAAGAAAGACAATATATTAGAATATACTAGAACGAAGTAAAAGCTGAGAAGCAGGCGGGTCACAACGTAAGGAAGAGCATATTAATACACACATAACTATACAGAACGATGATGCAGTGATGCTGCTTATATATGTGAAAAAGAGAGAAGTCTTTTCGATAGAGCGCAAATAATATTATAATGACGATAATATGTGTGTTTCGTAACCAAAGGGTTAATAATAATTTTGTTCTTCATAAAAAAGCATACTACATAGAATATAATTAGCATCTACACCAGCTTCATATAATTGTACAAAAAGGACATATTGAATATAAATCTATTCGAATGATTTGATGAGATACATTATACCAAAAATAACTCCAACCAGTATCACCATTTCACATATTATAATATATTGTTGTTGCTGCTGACCAAGATGATGCCATAATAGGTGGAAGTTTTGCTTGTGAAATATTTATTTTACTATTATGTTGTTTGGATGAAGAAGGAATGCACATTGTTGTATTAAATTGTTCTTGTGTATTAGTTCTAGGAATGACTGCTGAAACACATTGAAAATCTGTTGGAGATAATAATGAATTATTACAATTTAAATGATTTCCATCCATACAACGTATTTGTGATGATGAATATAGTTCAGCTGTTTTATTTATTTTAATAAGAATACAAAGAATTGTAATACATATTAGAATTGATTTCATTTTTATGTTGAACGATGAATTTTTTTATAAAAGAATCTGAGTATGTCATTATGATAAGAATAACAAAGTAAAACAGAATCTTAACATCATCGTCATTCTTATCTTCAATTTTTTATTTATGTCAACACATTACATAATAAAGTCGTGGATATTTATAAATAATGAAGTTTCATATACGATGGAAATATTTTTCTGAAATGTTAAGACACATATATAATGCTTTTTTCACTCTAGTTACATTCGCTATTGACTCTGCAATTATGGCGGATATATTAATTAGTATTCAATCCAAAAATTTATTGAAATTCTTACTGTAAATAGAGACAACTTAGATCTCCTATCGGTATAAATATTATCGATTTTCCTTTTAGACAAAGTGAAGTTATTCAAAAAAATATTGATTGTTACAGAATTTTATCCTGTTTTCAAAAATGGCATTTTCGATCAATATAGCCACCTAATCTTCATCAGCATTGTTTTCTACATTAGATAGTATATTTTTTGTTGTAGCCTGAGAAAAAGGTTTTTTCAGCATTTTTTATTAGGAAAGTTTTGAGAAAAAGTCAAAATTAATATATTGAAGAATAAACCATTTTGGTCTGTTCAGAATTTGATGTCGATTGGAAATATAATTCATTTTATGCATATTTAACAAGAAAAAATAAGACAAAAAGCTTTATTGTCATAAAACCGTTCTATTTTTATATATTAATGAAATTCCGTAGCGTATTATTTCTGAAATAGATGTAAGAGTAATAAATCAACCTCTGCTCAAGCTCAATCTATTTGACGGAGCTTCGTGAGCTCTGTCTAGAAATAGCAACATGCATGAGAACAATGAACTATAAATAACTTTCATAAAAAAGATGATAATGGTTTGTAATAGTTATTTTGTTACGTAGATACCTAACATTTATGCAATAGCCATGTGTTGAAAGAGAACGTTATATTCCATCGATTGACATCTATAATAATAAGCGATTCTTCTTTCTATTTATTACGATTATATTCCGATGGTTTCGACTGCTATCAATTTACTCTTATTTTCGGGTTGGTTGCTTCTAGAGAAATCAGGTGTGCGTATGTACAGCCAAAGGTCATAAAGAATCTTAAAGCCAAAGTTAAACACTTTCATAATTTGCGAAATAAATAAAAATGACGAAGAAATAGTAGATCTGTGCATAGTTTTGCTCTGATATTTCAACAAAACTTCTGAATATGAAGGGATAAACTGCACTAATCAATTTCATTTTTCTCAAATGGTTAGAATCAATTAATTTAAGACTAAGAATGACATGATTACTGACTTCAAACAATTATTATATAGAAATTATATTTATGCCTATTCTCTTTCATAAAAATACATATTCATATAAAGATAAAGTAAGTTGAATGTAAGTATTTTGTTTACCTCATTAGTTTGTATATCTGATATGATTATAAATCTTATTTTAAATTATATGTTGTTGTTATTCATAGATATATTCATCTATGTCATTCATAAACTTACTTCGAAGTCGTTTTGTAACTAAAATTTTTCAATAATGATACATTTTAAATCCGGTGGGTATACTATCAAAATAATTAAATATTACGAAAAACAACACTGTATCAAACTAAGAGAACATTTGAAAGGATAACTAAAGTTATCGTATAAGTTGTAATTTTTGTTAATTATGATAAACTAATATATAAGAGCACAAAAAAAAGATATATTTTTTATTTGGAATGAAATATTAAAGTGTCCGATAATTCAGTAAAAATATGGAAGGAAACAGTTCATGGACGTGATAAAATGAGAATTTTTATAACTAAAGTATTATCGAGAATCTGAGCTGCTTACAAGACAAAGAATAAGATAAGTGAAAGTTAACTTTTTTAAAAATAATTAGTATAATTCAGCGCCAATTATAGCATACTGTCCAATACCTTCACCACCAGTAACTAATACTTTTCCATTCGATAATACAGATGCTGTGTGCCGATCTCGTACATTAGCCATGCTACCAGTAGTTGTCCAAGTACCTGTTGATGGATCATACAACTCAGCACTATTTAAATAAACACTACCAGTGGATCCACCAGCAACTAATACTTTTCCATTTGATAATATAGATGCTGTGTGACAAACCCGTATATTAGTCATGTTACTAATAGCTGTCCAAATACCTGTCGATGGATCATATAATTCCGCACTATTTATAAAACTATTTGAATAACCAATATAATCATTGAGTCCACCAGTAACTAATACTTTTCCATTTGATAGTACAGATGCTGTGTGAAAATATCGTCTATCAGTCATGTTACCAGTAGTTGTCCAAATACCTGTTGATGGATCATATATTTCAGCACTATTTAAATAAGCATAATTAACAGCCCCACCAGTAACTAATACATTTCCATTTGATAATATAGATGCTGCGTGACAACTTCGTGCATTAGTCATGCTACCAGTAGTTGTCCAAGTACCTGTTGATGGATCATACAGCTCAGCACTATTTATACCATTATTACCATCCGATCCGCCAGTAACTAATACTTTTCCATTTGATAATACAGATGCTGTGTGCTGATATCGTCCATGAGCCATGCTAGCAGTAGTTATCCAAGTACCTGCTGATGGATCATACAGCTCAGCACTATTTAAAGCACTACCACTACTGTATCCACCAGTAACTAATACATTTCCATTTGATAATACAGATGATGTGTGAGCACTCCGTATATCAGTCATATTATTCGTACGCGTCCAGGTATTTGTTGATGGATCATACAATTCAGCACCATTGTCAACTCCACCAGTAACTAATACTTTTCCATCTGATAATACAGATGCTGCGTGATAAACTCGTGCATTATTCATATTACCAGTAGGAAACCATCCTAGAAGTTACATTGTTATATATTTAGACAATATAATATTAGATTGTCAAAGGCTCAACATTGATTACTCTTGTGTACAGAATTCTTCATTATTCTAGAACCAATAGTCTTTGATATGTCTCTTGTAAATCACTTCAAACTTATGTGGACTGAGAATAATAATCAAATCTATTGCACAAAATCTCTTCACATATCATTATCAAATCTTCACTTTTCTATGTTTTCTATTTCCTCTGTTATCTCAATCAAATATACGAAAGATGTCTGACTCAAATTAATCATTGTGCTAATTACACTGACTGATGTGTTTTTCGATTCTCTATAAATTATACAAGCTATGCTCGAAAGTTACTCAATAGAATAAAAGACATGAACTTCTCATCAACTCTTTTATAGTTCTCTGGGTATCACTATCAAAATAGTGAACTATTCGTAACATTTTCTTTTCAATGATAAATACATAGATATGCAATGGACTAGGGCTATATAGTATTCATCACTGGAAGTGATATAAAACATAAACTAATGAGAACTTGAGTGATTAATCTCAAAGTCTTTGATAATTCGCTATCAAATTATTGTTAATTTTCTATTAATTTACGCAAATTTGCTTATTTAGTTCTTTTTGACCTTATTCTCAATAGCGTTTCATATCTAATTGAATATTCAACTTGAATTTATTGACACTAGAACAAATTTTCATCAATTCTCTATTCACATCTTCTTATGTAATAAACACTATCATAGAAAAAAAAAACCTTTACAAATATTTCAGATATGATATAAAAGATTAATCTATAGATAAAGATAGTATTCAATGTCTGATTATACAGTTCATCCAATCATCTCATCATCTCATCAATCAAGATAAAACAAGTAAGATAACAGGATCAAGGAAAACTAATCTGAGATCTTTTATCAAAACTGATTTACCTTAATATGTATTCTGTTGCTAAATTTGATCTCAGATGGTTCATGTATTCTACGATAAGGATAACGTTGATAATCAACATTATCGCTGAAATCATATTAAACTTAACTATAAACTACAACTACTAGAACAATGACAGCAACAAAAAAAGTAGGGATAAGTAAGAATGTTGAATCAAAAAAAATTTAAATTTAAATTTGAATTGACATGATCTATAATAACAATTTGTATACTCCAATGTATTCATCCATATTACTTTGTTATTTAATGCAACAAATGTAAACATAAAAGCATCTTACAAAAGTTTATCCCACAGTAGCCTATCCAGGATTGGACAGGTGGTATGGCAATGCCTTACGAAATTTTTAAAACCTACCGTATCACTTGATAATTTCCCGATGATTCAAAATCAGTCTCTAATCTTTCAGTGTTTTAGAAAAGGATTAATTTAACGTGAAACACAGAGGCATACTGAGTGAGGAAAATGCGTGGGGAGCTACGTCCCCTCCTTGCTCTGGGAAATTTTTGTTTTTTTTGGTCTATAAAGTTATAAAAAGGATTTTTACATGTTTTTTGGCGTTAGATTTAAGCAGAAAGGATGTCGCGCCTGACTACTTTTAAAACTTGAAATATTGAGAGTTAACGCCTCTGATTATTAACGTGTTCAGGTGTTTCTACTATTTTTCAGATGCCACTCATTATCGAAGACAGTCTTATGTAACTTCATTAACAATGTCATAAGAAAATAAAACTCCTAGTAAGAAGTTTTTCTCGGTGGCCTGCCAAACACTACCGTTGGCATGACAGTGCCACACCATGCGAGGTCTTAGATACGCCACTAATCCCATAGTATTTCAGCTTGGACAGAACACAGACAACATTGATTTATTATAAAACTATAATTTCTTATTCGACCAAATAATCATATATGAAATTGTATTGATGTATCATTCACTGACTAAACTGAACACTTCAACATACTTCAATTCTTCATCTCTCTTACGTTCCTCATATTAATTAACAATGAATATCACAAATCTATATTAGTCTATCTACTGCATTACTCTTCACTAAAACAAAAGTATTATTCAACAAAGGTTTTAAACAAATGAATGATACCTAATTTATAACTATGACTAAAATGAATTGTTCTAGCTAAGTGTGATGAAGCCGAAAATGTAAATAATATGTATTAATACCTGTCTTACACATTTGTATTGCTGACAATGGTAAACATACTGCTTGTGATGAACAACATGAGTTAATAACACACACTGAATTATTTAATGAACATGTTTGTGTAATATTATCACATCTTTCTAGTATTGAACATAAAATCCCAGGTGCACAATAACTAATATTATTTATTGTTCGATAATCAAAACAAGGTGTTGATGATGAAAGACAATTATTGTTATCATTCAAGCTTGTATTACATTGTTGTAAAGAACAATTTGATGTTGGCTTCCAAGCCGAATGAGACGATGAAGACAATGTAAACTGAATAGAAGCATTATTTTCACTACAAGAATAATTAGGTAATTGTGTAGTTTGTCCTATAAAATTCATTTAAATTGTGATAGAGTGAGAGGGAAAAAGATAATCTAACAAACCTTTTACACATGAAAGAAATATGATGAAAAGCAAGACAGTGATAGATCGCATTATTTTTTGTGATGAATGAAAAATAAAGTATGCACAACAATGAATGATTTTTCTTTACTCTTTTTTTTACCACTTCCTAAATTTTTCTTTTAGTTGAAAGAGCATAAAACTGTTTCTTTCAAAACTTGTTTGTGTCCTTCAAATCAAAAACACATTCCTTTCATTTTGAATTGCTTGTACATTTAAATGTATCGAAATGTTTATTTTGTAAACGTTCGTTATAGAAAAAAGATTTTTCTATGTCTATGATTTTTATTCGTCAAATACTTTCCTCTTTTGTTCTCTCCTGACAAATAAAATTATGATATTTCTTCAATCGAACTTTAAAACATTATCAGTTATGTGATCTTGTTTTGATTAACGAAAGTAGAAGAAAGCATCTCTGGAATAGACTCATGATTACTTAATCAGTTTTTTTGTAAGAATTCATTCATTGGATACATTTCTTCGACGACAAATAAACGTTTTAGTTATTATTTTCATACCCTTTTTTGATTATTTTTCGAATAACATTATTTTTGGGGAGAATAAAAAATATTTTTTAATAAAATTTGAGTGGGTGTGGAGTGAATCAACGTGTGTATAAAAATGAGCAATGAATACCCACACCCAAGTGTTACACTGTTTGATACTAATATTGTTATCATATAATACATATATATTCATTATGTTTTTATATAATTCCTAATCCAAATTCATTTTTTGATTAGTGGCAAATTCGAATAGATTTTAGAATATTTCATTGAAATATTATTTTGATGGCACCCAGAGGCGGAGCGATCGGGCGATGTAACACTCCAGTCTTTCGAAATTTCTATTTTTTGCTCAACAAAATCGGCAAATCTTCTTAGGTTTTTTACCAAAGATAACTCTACGCTTCCCTTGCTCCCCCCCCCCCCCCACCAAAGATCGCGAAATTCATCTTTTTACTCCAGAAAATCTTGCTACATCACCTCCTCCCCCAATATTGGCTGCCTCGCGCTACCCCTGTGCAACCGATTAGCACCAAAACTGATTATTGAGAGTGGGTGGGTGTGAGTACCAACGTAAGACAAGAAGACACATAGACCCAAACCTACACCCCACACCATCACCCACACCTTCAAAATACTGTACGTGACATATCCTCTGTGGATATTCCTTGTAAATTTTAAAGATAACTTCTGGGACAAACGAACGAATCAGTTTTATTATTTTCTTTCAATGTTAGTAATGTCTCAAACGCTGCCGATCATATCAGTGTCCTCGGACCAAAGAAAATGTTTATTTTTCACGAATTTAAACCATCATCATACATTTAAGAACATATCAAATAAAGATGAAACGCATTTTCTTAATAGCGATACCGGCGCTCCTCTTCACGGCGCTCGTCTGCACGACGTTCATCAGCCCGTCGATCTTCCGCCCGTCGATCCTCGGCTCGGCGCTCCTCTGCTCGTCTTTCTTCTTCCCGTCGTTGAGCGAGCTGATTTTGCTCGAGGCGTCTATCCTGAAGAAGCTTGTCTTGAAGGAGTCTATCCTGAAGCTGCTTGTCTTGGAGGCGTCTATCGTGAAGTTGCTCATTGTGACGTCGTTCATCGTCCAGTCGCTGTTGCTCTTCTTCTTTTTCTTGTTCTTCTTCTTCTTCTTCCTTACGCTTTTTCTCTCGCGCTTCTTCATCTATTTTCATTTGTTTTAATTTTCTCTGCAAGAGCAAGGTGTAATCGAGAGTTGATGCGTTTTCTTGCTGCTCTTGTCGTTGTTGTTGTTTATCGACTAGGGCACGCGCTGTAGCTAAGGACCAACCAGTGACAATGTCTATTGTCTGGCGATAGAAAGGCGAATCGCGTTTGCTCAGCATAGCTACAACTCGTTGAGCCATTAATGTCTGATTTAATTCTGCCTTCATAGGGTTGGGTGCTAATTTAAGTTGATGAGATAGAGCAGCGAGCGGGAAGCACGATTCACACACGTCAAAGTTGGCACACTGGCTACATTTGTAGCGACGACCTGGGAAATTGGCCTGCAAGCAACCGTCACATATAATCCCGATATTGTTTTGAATCCACGCGTACCCGCTTGGAAGCCCGATAACGGGTGCAAAACGGTGAATCCGCGAATGTTTGCTTTTTGTGAGAGGCAAACACCGTGGACAAACAATGTAATTATCGCACGACAAACATTTGTAATACAGTTGCTTTTCTCCGTCAAATACAGTATAGCACAAATCGCAAAAAGCAAGAAGTGTTTGCCTGTATCTAATATCTTGGAAGATCGCCATTCTTCTTGAAAAAATCTAAAACACAAACATTTGTAATGGCAAGATGAATATGTCTTCACAAAGTCTAGCAAAAAGGTAATGAAAAATGGACAGCGTGTAGGGTATAGGTATGAGTATGGGAGTAGCTGGGTGCTGTTATAGACTCTGATGAAGATTCACACCTATACCCATACCCATACCCATACCCACACTTACATCCACCCTTCTTTTGAGATATCTAAATTTCTTCGAAGAAAAAATATCAAACAATGTTTTATTATTCAAAAATTCTAAAGCAACTACTTCATGTACAATTAAATGATTTTATTTATTACTCTTTGAAATGTAGCCTATCGAACATCAGTTAACAAAATCAAACTAAAATTTTGTAGCATCACATACATGCTCCTTCTCTCAGGAAAAGTCTGTAAATATCGTGTTTTTTTCTTTTTCACAGATACGACGAGGCTCCTACATTATTATGAGTCGATCGCGAGAAGGTTGAAGAAAGACGTCGGCATTATTCTGTTATATTTCTTTGCAAAAAATAAATGAAAAACACTTACTCGTATTACTAGTAGTTGTTTTTGAGTATGTTGAATTTGAATAATTCGAATGCTTGTCGAGAGTTTATCAAATTCGTCGAAAGTAAATATATCTGCGTTGTTGCTGGTTTGTTGTTTGCCTTCTAGATAGTGTATTTTTTTTGAATGGCTCGATCGTAGCTACTAGGCTTCTTTTTATATGTAATATGCGTGAATAATTTCGTCACTGGGTTTTTTCCTTCAAAGGTCAACGACAATTCTCGATTACCATTAGTTTTGATTGACACCTCATTATTGGTAATAAATCGAATCACTCAAGCGCGGAAAGTTGGAAAAAACCAAAGTAAAACTATAGGAAGTAGTCAATGCGTCATGATGAGAACGTAGCAGACATTAAAGCAAGTACCAACAAGAGAAAGTTTACATTAAAAATCAAAAAATTTGAGGGTGTGGGTGAGATTAAGAGAAAACGTACTTACACCCCACCTACCCACACTCACACCCTCATTCTCTTCATCACTGCTGAGATTCAAACATAAACTTTTTTCGCATGCGAGTAGTGCATGACTATTTATTTTAATTTTAAATGATAATTAAAACGCAACAATCAACATGAAAAATATTCTATGTTATACGATTGATATGCGGAATGTTCGAATTTGCATTGGATTTAAAATGATGTTTGTATCAACCAATGAATGTTATTCTATATTAAAAAAAAGATATTATACCTCGAAAACAGTTTTATTTTCCATTTGAATAACTTACTCGTAGAATTATTCGTTTGTAGTAATAATTCATCATTATCAGTTAACCAATGTAGTCTGTTCATTTGAGATAATTCTAAATTAGCATCTAATGTTAATTCTAATATTTTATCAATTATTCCAATTGATTTAAATATTGATTGTAAATCAATTTTAGTTGGATATGAATATTTTTCATCTTCATTTAATTCAAAATAATGCTCAAGACGAATAAGATATTGTTTTTCATTCAATTGATCTAATGTTAATAAATGAATATTTGAAGGTAATATATCGCTTAATGCAGACCATGTTTCATGATATAAACTTGAATAATTCATATAAGATGAATTAATTAATGCATATGTTACAAGTGGAGACATAAATAATTCTTGTGAATGAATACGATGATAAAAAGCACTTGTTTGAGGTAAATCAATATTAAGAAAATGTTTTCCACGAATAACAAGACCTTGACCAAATGCAGATTCATTCAATGATTCACCAACACCCAAATTATCATCATAAAGTAAACGTCGATGTATCATTAATTCAACTGAACCATCAATAAGACTTGCACCACCTTCCGAACGATCTATAAACATAAATTAAATTAAAAGTTCTATATGATCAATATTCTATATTTTATTCTACCAGTAAGAATAGTAAATTGTCGATTTGTTTCATTAATCCAAATACGAGAATTAACTGGATAATAATTTCCACTAACTGGTTCAGTAATTGTATAATTATATGTTGGTCGATAATTTCTTATTCGTTGAAGAACTTCTCGTCCATTTGCATCTGTATAATATTTTGATTGACTTTTAATATCTGTATCATATCGAAGAATAATTTCTTTTCCAATATTATCTTCAACTGGAACCGGACCTACTGTCCATTCAATTTCAATATCTTCTCCTTCATCATAAAGATTGATTTCTTGACTAATCCATTCATTAAAAATAATAATTGCTGTTTGAACAAGTTCACTTTTAATACATTTTCTAAACAATAATAATAAATAATAATATGAAATAATATTAAATAGAAATGAAAATACAATGAACGTTTTTTAGATATTGGTTTTGCATCTTGTGTTACTGGTCGAAAGATATAAGCACCAGATGCTTGAAAATCAAATTGAGAATTATTACCAGAATAACCTTATAAGATAGAAGAATGGTATACAACTTAATTAGAGTAAAATAACATACTTTTATACCAATAGAAACCTTGATTAAGAAATGTAATATTAATATTCTTTTGAAGATTTATAATACGTTTTAGATTTCCGAGAATGCTTCCTATTCCCAAAAGTTACACATTCCGGAATCGCTGCACCCACCCAATTTCACATCATTCAATTCCGGAATTCCTTGCATACGATTCCTGCCTTTTCCGGAACAGATCGAATTCGATTCCTGCCAATTCCGGAATTCCTTCTATCTGATTAATACTATTCCTGCCGATTCCGGAATTACGAAAGATATGCTTGATGTAGAAATGATCTTCTTCAATAATCGAATCGATTCCGTAGCGGAATTCCGGAATTCGTGCACAGTCCGGCTTTTCCGGAATCGCTCGGAATAGGCAGGAATTCCGGCTTTTCCGGAATTGCACAAGTTAAACTTCATGTAGAAATGATCTTCTTCAATAATCGAATCGATTCCGTAGCGGAATTCCGGAATTCGTGCACAGTCCGGCTTTTCCGGAATCGCCCGGAATAGGCAGGAATTCCTGCCTATTGCGTACTTCTTCACGGACCGAGCCTCCCGCACACCCACATTATTGTGTTTGCCCATGGACCGAGCTCCCCGCGCACCCACACTATTGTGCTTGCATACCGACGAAAGGTCTCTATGTTAAGTTTTACGTAAATATCAATAGATCGAGCCATTCCGGAATTGGTAGGAATGTGCAGGAATTCCGGAATAGGTAGGAATCGAATGTCGGGAATTCCGGTATAGGCAGGAATCGAAGGCAAGGCATTCCGGAATTGAATCATGTTAAGTTGGGTGAGCCAAGCGATTCCGGAATGTGTAACTTTCCGGAATAGGATGACTGCTCAGATTTCCTTGTTCATCAATTTCAATTCGAAGATTCTATAAAAACAATCAAATAAAATATTTCATTTATTATTATTTTCTCTTACTTGATTTTGTAAAATACATATTTCATTTTTAGTTATTTCTAATTTTTCTTCTTCTTCTTCTTCATTCGCTACAAAACAAAATCTCAAATTGAAAAGAAATACAATTAAAATCTAATTACCCTCAAAGAAATATGTATTAAAACCCAATGCTGGTAAATTATATTTAAAAATCAATTGATACGTTGCATTACTCATTCGACCAGGTATTGTTTTCGTTGAATTTGAAATTGGAATTAACTGAAAAGGAATTGGCCCACTAAAATCACGAACTGTATAAGATCTCGTAACAGGGACACGTAAATAACCAACAACTGGATGAATTATTGGATTCCAAAGTATTACTATGAACTATTCAATCAAAACTAAATGACTATCAAATAAATATTTCTTTCTTGTTTTACTTGTTTTGCGTTTTCAATTGGTAAACATTCACTTATGTTTGTTAATTGACAAAGAAATTGTTGAATTTCTGTTGTTGTTGATTGTTTATCTTTTATCAACAGTTTTGGATAAGCTGTATTAATTACATTCTAAAATTGATATGTATATATCAAATAAGAATTAATTTATACAGACAAGTGCTGAATCAATTCCAATGGACAATCGTTGTGCATAATCATTTGCTACATGTTGTTTTTCTGTTCCACTAACTGCATCATGATGTTGAGCAATCGCCATTGCTTCACCTTTATGTATAATATTAAAATAATAAATGAATTAGAAGAAATTGATATTTTACTTAAACTAAAAATTTGATTTCGTAATTGACTATTAGAAAATGTATTTAATTGTCGTATAACTTGTAAAATATTATTTGAATAACGTTCAAAACGTTTTAAAGCTGGTCGTGATGTAAAATATCCTGTCCAAAATCCATGTGGATGATGTGCATGTGGAAAAAAATCATCCGTTTTTGTTATCCAACTACGATTAACTTTATTTAATGCATATAAATAACAGGATGGAGTCGAATAGAAAACATTTACACTACTACCATTTATTTGCTTTAATGAAATTCAATAAATTTTTATTTCTTTGAAATTGAAATGAAATATTTCTACCTGATCATTGACATATTTAATTAATTTATCTAAATTTTTATAATTTGCCAATGCATTTTGATATTGAAAATCACCACCAAATGTCATTATAATATGATTAGTTGCATATTCCATTGACTCATTCTGAGCTGTTTCAATAAATGTTTGAACACGTTCTGGTACATTATAATCTGGTAAATTTACATCATCCTATAATAAATAAACAGAAGGATATATAGAACATGTAAAATCTATGCTATAACTATGATCGGATCATCTGGAGCAATAAAATCAAAAGAGAATGTTGCTGGAGTTGAATATCTTCGAGGTAAAATACCAGTAAATAACCAACTTTGACGACCTAAATTAGCACTTGCTTTCCAAATCATTTCCATTGATTTTGTTGTATTACGTTTTTGTAGATCTTGATAATCAGCACGACCAAAGAATAAACCATCAAAACCCATCTAAAGATAATTTATATACACTTTTTTTTATATAAAAAGAATGGATTGACCTGTGCAAGCAGAGACGCCTGTTCACGTGAATGACCAAATGGATCGATTTGCCAACCAATTTTTGGTCGACCACATTCACCAAATTGATCATTTAGAAATTCAAGACCTAAACTATGTTGATCAATAATTGAATTATAATGTGTTGTTCCTTCATCATTCATACACCAACCACCAGAAATAAATTCAAGACGACCTGAATTGACGAAAGCTTTAACTTTATTGCGAATTTCATCTATTTGTTGAAGCCACCATCGATAAAAGAAAGCCATTTCAACATAGATAAATCGTCGATGAGGATTTTCATCTAATGCAAGAACAATTGAATCAAGAATATATTGAACACCAGCATGTTGAAGATCACTTCGAGCTTAAAAAGATTTTATTTAAAAAAAGGAATTCAAAAAAAAATTGTGCATACATCCATAATAATATTCATCTAATGTTTTAACAAATCCAACATCATCATGTGAATGTGGAACAAGATGAACATTGAGTTTTGTTGCATCACCCAAATTACATGTCTATAATGAGATTTATTCGATAAAATCACAATAGAATATTTAAATTTACTTACATCATAACCACATTTATTCAATGATTTTACTGAATTTGTTAAAGTGATTATATTAGAAATTAATAGAAATAGATAACAAATAAGAAACGTCATATATTTTATATCATAACTTTATTATTCACACAAAAAATGTCTCATTTACATGTGACTATCTTCTTTAGTTTTATAATCATAGATAAGGAAAGTTAAAATAAAGAAGATATTCTAATCGAAGAACAAATGTTGTGATTAAGTGATAGAATAGAAGAGCGGGAGAGTGCGTATACGATTGTTTTTTCTTCAACAACACGCACCTCAAGTAATATTAAACATTTCTTGCACCTCTAAGGTGGATTTGCCATGTACCATATTTGCAATTATTTTACAACCGAGAGCGAGTAAAGTTTTAAAACCTAGAAAATTAGCTGTCTAAAATTATCAAAACGATATTCTTTCCACATTGAATAACGAAATAAACTTGCCATCATGATATCGAAAAGTGTGCCTTCATGAACTGTAAACTGTTGCATGAATATAAGATCCCATTCACTAATATCATCAGAGCTGAAAAATAAAAAAGAACATCGAGATTTATCATTAAATTAAGTTAGATTGCTTTGCTAATGTTTGATTGTCTGCTCTTAGCTCATTTCACTTTCACATTGGACTGTTTTACTACTATAGAACGGTCGAAAAATCTTCCTATATTGTAATTACGTTACTTATAATGATTTATCTCTAATTTCACGCAAACAGGTGTCAGTGAAAGGTTAATAAGAGATAAGTTTACTGTAGAATTAAACTCATCGTTTTGGTTCATAAATATCCTGGTTGGGATCATCGTCGTCATCCGAAACTTTTTCTTCACGATCATTTTTATAATAATCACGAAAATCAATGATCAGAAAGACAATAAATAGAATAAGTGATAAAAAACGACATGTATAACAAACAACTTACTGGTTTGAGGAGAGAACCTTTGACATTCGGTAATGAAATGGGTCCATCAGAACCTTCTATGATTGAATTCAAACACTCATCATCGAAAAACTCTTTGAGCATTGTAGACTGTTTAGCTATATCACCATCAATGTTGAATTCTAGGCCATCGTTAGATGCTATCTTCATTTTTTGATACTTCGTGTAAACAATGCAAAAGAAAAAGGTTTTCTTTTTAACGACATGACGTGTGTTTTTAAATGAAGAAAAGTTGGAAAAAACCAACACATCTCCCGAGCAAGGTTCCGAATGGAATTTAAAAGAAAAATGTTTTTGTACACCTTGTTTAACCTAACCAAATGTACATATACACTATGTTTTCGAAAGCAAAGTGTACCAAAGTGTATAAATTGGATTTAGCTATAATCTAGAAATATAGATAGTGTTCATATTTTTTGTTGATGAAGAACGTAAACCAAATGCATATTGAACAATACTAAATACACAATTAATACGCACACAATTATGTAATCTAACATGAATACGAATATTTTCTTTATTATTTGTCAATATTAGTATCAATATCCATTTAAAGTTAAACAAAAATGAAATCAAGTTATCGCTGAAGGGACATTCCCTTTTCCCGGGTTTCTCGGAAACGACTAGACAAAAATTCTTGAAATTTTCAGGATGAATAGGTCTCGAGTAGTAGAGCAAAAGTTGTCCTACAGTCAAAGTAGCTAGGCTTTGTCTTCATGGGGTTCTGAAGACCCCAAGGTCCAAGAACAGCCTAAAGTTCTCCCCCCCCCCCCGCCAAATCCACAGATTTCGATATTTTAAGCTGAAATTTTTACTGTGGGTATCAGGCCTAAATCGGGATGCCGATTTTTTTATTCAATTCCTAAAACTTTAGGAAGGAGAGCCAAAATACTGAAAACTTCGAAAAATCTCTAGCATTATAGGATTCTGAAAACTTGCAAATCGTGCCAAGTTTGATTGGTAAGAGCTATCGGCAGAAAAGAACAGCCAACCCCAATCAGTTGAAGTTCCACGAAAAAACTTTTCCGCCCGATCGGACTTATAATAGCTGAGAAAAGAAGGCAAAGCTTTTTTTGGCACCCGAAAAACCTAGTTTCGAAGAAACCGCGTTCTTTTTTCGTTTTTTAGCACATTCTGAGAGAAAAAACGAACTTTTTTGAGGCTTTTCGCCTATAAAAGAAGGTTTTCGGTTTTGCAAAGAGAGTTCACATATAGAGACCATACATATCTATGCCTAGACGTGAAAAAAGAATTTCGAAAAATTTTGTCAACAAAGGGGAGGTGCTCTTTAAAACAAAGTGTTAATTCTATTCACAGAGTGTACCGTGTACATTTTGTTTTCGCCAGCAACGTGTAAAACAGCGTGTATTTCAAATGTCGCAAGTGTTTCGCCCTTTTTTCTTCTGCTGTGTACACTTGCCATTCGGAACCTTGCTCCCGAGTAGACAAACAGCGAAAAATTATGCATTAAAATTTTACAAAAATAAAATGTGCATTTTTTACGACTTTATTTTAGTTCATAGTTTTTTATGTATTGCTTTTCCAAGCTGTATAAATTGTTAGCGAAATCAGTTCTATTATCATCTGGCAATATTAACCTAACAGTTACATTTTATTCTATAAATATCGATATAAAACAAGCTAAATGTGAGGGTGTGATAAAAGAAGACTCAGTCCAACACCCACCCTCAAGATTATGTATATTAAGACGTGAATCAAGATTAATTAAATTTATTGAAACACTTCTTATTAAAATATGATTTGTTTTCAATAATGAATAAATAAATAAATTTTTGTACAAAAGATAAATATGAGAACATGAAGTGTAGATATTACTCTTATGTTCACCCACAACCTATCACAAGAGGAAACTTAATATCTTGAATACAATTATAAATAATCGGAATTTAAAACTGAGGATAAGTCGTAGTTGATAGAAAGTATGTTATTCTTGCCAAGTTATCTCATTCCTTATGTATCCTCACTCTGTAGCATAATGAAAAATGACTAAATATTTATTTGATTTTTAAGAATTTTTCTTGAAAATATTGATTAAGTTATTAGTGAATTGGTGATCGATTCGTATATTTAATCACATGTTAGTAGTATCACTTATTATCCTAAAGAAAGATTTTTTATTACAGTTGTTATCTAATAATGTTTATAGATATGTTTTAATTATTTTCCTGTTTAAAAGGAAAAATCTCATTATTGTTTCTTTATTCTCAATACGTTTGAAGAGTCTTGTTCGTCCATGCAGAATATCATAAGTAACAAAACATGACAATATATTTTCTAGATTTATTATAAGAGAGCAACCACGTACTCTGTACACTCTGCTGTAGTATGCAGTACTCTTTAGACTCCGGGAGTGCAGGAGTATCGGAGTACATGATTTTGCCCTTGATTTATTATTACCCTAGAAAAACGTTAGAGAGTAACTTCATATGGAAGTTGAAGTCTGACTATTATAAAATAAATTAATAAATATTAAAATGATACAAAGGATAGGGTTCATCATTTGTATTTTTTAATAAACTAAGAAGATAATACATTAAAATCAATTGATAATATTGTATAAAGTAAAAAGGTATTCGTATGTGTTAATAAATAAGAATATAAAACTCGGTTGAATGCTTTTGTGAGTAATCTCAAGAGTTTTAGAAGGAAAATGAGAAACAGTAGAAAAAAAAGAAAACATAATTACTTTTATTATTTTACTTGTTTGGGTAAGTTGTTAAGAAAACTAAATGAACTGCAATCAGAATTTATCTATTATCAAATGTTTGTAAATATTTATTCGGATATATCTCTTCTCGTTATTTTATAGTTTTTAAGGTATCTATACTTCAATATATACTAAAATTGGTACTATTTTATAAAAGAATGACTTGACACAGTTTACTAGCAGAGATTTTATCAAGTTTATCGATAAATCGTGAGGGTGTGAACGTGAGTTTTGTTCATATCTCACATCCGTACCCTCACACCCATACCCTATTTCTAATTTGTAAATTTTTTTAGAATATTTCTCAACCTAACATGAACGGCATAGAAGGAATACATCTTCCACCGCGTAATCAACATAAAACTATACCAGTACCTGTTGATCATTTGATTTCTGTAAAACATAATCGATGGTAAGTGTTAAATTTCTCTAACTAACCAATGATTTCAAAGAGAATTTTACTAACTATTTAATTTTAAAAGGAGTAAGCGCTTTAAAATTTGGATTGGAGTTTGTACAGTGATTGGAATAGCTACATTTCTGACTGCAGTACTTATACCGATACTTCTTATCAATGGTAAATCAACAATCTCTACAACGTCAACAAAAACAAGCGTAACATCAACAACAACCACCACAACAACGTCAATAACAACAACAACCGCTACAACATCAACATCAACAACAATCAGCACAACAACGTCAACTACAACACCTGCAGCAACCACCACTACCACAGGATGTTATTATGGTGGAGATCTTGTTAGTTTGGTCGAAGGTGGGCAACGTCATATAAAAAATTTAAAAGTTGGAGATAAAATTTGGTCAATTAATGATCATAATTTTGAACTTGTTGAAGATGAAATTGTTTTAATGATGCATAATGAACCAAGTCAAAAAGGTTTTTAATCTTTTATTTTCTTCATATTAATTTATTTTCATTTATTTCTTGTTGTTAAGCTATGTTTTATACATTTCAAAGTGTTGAAGGTGGTCAATTTAGTTTAACAGGCTCTCACACCCTACCTGTATTTGATACAATAAGAAATGAAATAACAATGAAACGTGCAGACTCAGTAACTATGCAAGATCGTTTAATCATGTTTGGTAAAACAGTGGAAATAACAAATATCTCAATAACAGTTAGTCAAGGTTTTTATGCTCCACTTACACTAACTGGTTATTTAATGGTTAATAATGTATCAACATCAGTCTTTTCTGCAAAGTAATTTATCTTGAAATAAATTTTGTAGATCATATAGATTTTGTTTCTTTATTTAGTTATAAAGCTTCAACAGCAACACTACAGTTAGGATTTTTACCAATTCGTATTTATTATCATATAACACGATTTATATATGGAAATAAATATAATCCATTTGTAGAAATACAAGAAGGTTTACATCCAATTCCTCATTTTTATAAACAACAGCAAGTTAAATTAAGATTTTTTGTACTTAAATTACCAAAACTTTTTTTTTCAACTATTATTATCGTTATTATTGTGCATTTTATTCAAAAATGGACAAGTAAATTATTATTAAAACACAAATAAAAGTCATCGCTACGATTCTTTTAACTTTAAGTTTAAGATATTTTATGCCCTATATTACTGTTATTGCATGTACTTCGGTCATGCCATAAGGGTTTTATTCATATATATTTGCTTTTTCTTTCTTCATATATGTTTACTATATATATATTTCGTTCGTTCTTATTCTATTATGCTTTTTTCGCTTCGTGGGTTCTTCTTTGATGGGTATTTATTCGTTTTCTAAGTTTAATAAACATGATTTATCCTCATTTGATATGTATCTAACCATTACTTTATAAATTTGATCGATTTTTTGTTGAGAGTGTCGGTGTGGGTGTGGAATAAAATAACTACTCACAGCCACACTCACACCCACACCCATGCTTACATAAGAGAGCATTATGTCCACCATCACGTAAAGGTTACACATCCTCTATTCTTTTCTTTTCAAAATACATGAGAGCATATGGATTATCGTCATGTATATAAATTAATGTATCTTGTAAGCTTTTCTGTCTGGAATAAATCATATATCTCCTATTGATTTTTATGCGTGTTTCTTTGCATTTTACGATATAATAATTATTATCGTACTTTGTTCTATTTTAGAGATACATATAGCCCTGAAGAATACTATATTATAAAAGATACGAAATATGTCGGTGAAAATTAAAACTCTTCATTTAATTAAATAATTTACAAGCATATATAGAAAAGAAAAATACTTGTTAACAAACGAGCGGATACTGAAAAAGCAAAAGTTGAAACTAGCAGACTGAATTTCTGTTTTTTCAAGAGATAAGTCGATCTGTATTCGACTGAATCAAAAAAATCCAGTAAAATAGTGACTAAAGAAATATTGAGTTAATTTTGTCTTCCATATATAATGTCTGTAATCACAAAACAAAATAGGACACATATGTTTTATTAACAACCTTTACCAGAACCAAGACCGGGAGTACCAGCACCAATACCACAAGTAGTATTATAGTTACAATAAATATCAGCACCGTCATCACTAGCACAACTGCTAGCACTAGTATACAAATTATAACCAGGTGGATTCGAATAAAGAAGACAGTAATAAGTAGTACTACTATAAACACAAGTAGTACAACTTGCAGCACTACAGCAAACACTAGGACCACAAGTAGGAACATCTGTTGTTGTCGTCATTGTTGTTGATGTTGTCATAGCTGTGGTCCTTGTCGTAGTTGATGTTGTTGTTGTTGATGATGTTGTTATTGTTAATGATGATGTAGTTGTTGACGTTGTTGTTGACGTCGTTGACGACGTCGTTGTTATTGTCGTTGTTGATGTTGTCGATGGTGTTGTTGAAGTTGAAGTTGACAATGTTGTTGTTGTTGATGATGATAATGACGATGTGGCTGTTGTTGTTATTGTTGATGATGGTGTTGTTGTCGGTGATGTAGTTGATGATAATGATGATGATGATGTTAATGATGATGTTATTGTTGTTGTTGTTGTTGACATTTCTGTTTTCAATATTGTTGTCGTTTGTGTTATAGACGTTTTTGTTGTCGTTGATGATGCAGTTTCACTCTTTCGTCCGTTTGGCATAATTACATTATCAAAAGATGCCTGCTTTATTTGATCTTTCGTTATTTTAGCTCCTGTCATATCACTGTTTGAGAAGTGTGCACCTGTCAGATTTGAGTTTCCAAAATCTGCACCCGACAGATTTACACGATTGAAACTAGCACAAAGTAAAGATGAACCATCAAATTTAACATTGTTTAGTCGTCCTCCATCAAATGATACACCATTTAAATTAACAGATGAAAACTCCCCATTTGACATTGATATCTGATCAAAAGAAACACATTGTAAATTCAACTTATTTAATACACCAGTTTCACTTTCTAGATGTACATTATCAAAACTTAATTCATTCAAACGAATTATATCATCTAGTTTTGTTGTTCTACATCCATTAGTACAATTATTTCTACCAATTAATTGTTTTTCTTTAAGAAATTGTAAAATATCTGCTTTCCGTATTGTATCCCATTGGCGATGAGCAGCACGATAATATGCATTGGCAAATGCCCATGGATTTTTTGTATTGTTAAGATAACCATCTTTATCTAATTTATAAATATTATTTAAAAATTCATCATAAAGTGTTTGTTGCCTTAATTCTTTTGATTGTTCCAAATCAAACTTTTGTTTTTTCTCGGCTTGTTGTTTTTGTTGTTGAAACCCAATTGCAGTATAAATAGCAAGAGCTATGGGTATAGCAACTGAAGATATAATAGATAATATGTCTTTAAATGTCAAATGCCAAAACACTCGTCTCTTAAAATCTATCATTGTCTCAATGAGATTTTAGAGTAAAAAGTAAAATATTGTGGTGTGCTCGAATATTAAGAAAACACAAATGCTATAGTAATAATTAGTTTTTTTCTCTTATTTAACAACATATTAAGTTACAGTTTTAATTATATTTTCAGAATCAAATGTTACAAAAAAAAAATAAAAGAATTGAATAAGTAAATCTTCATTACAGACACAACAATAATTAGAAAAATAGTTTCTTGTTACGTTCAATACAATGAGTGTTGAATTTGATCTAGAATAACAAGAATGTGTAAGTATCGGTGAATGAAGATCGTAGGAGACGATGAAAGAAGAAAACTTATACTGTTTATTTAAATATTAGAGACTTCTTCGTACGTCTATAAACAATACAAAATCGTAGAATTTAATTAATTTTCCTAAATAATGAAAAATCTATTTTGACAGTAACTATAAAATGATCTGGTCATATCCATTACAAGGCTCTACAAAAAAAGGGATATTTTAGACTTGATGAATAATTTTTTTAATCAAATCTTTTGTTCCATGCAGACAGTTCTGAATAAATATTTTTCTTTCCGATTTTTTGTATATGAAAATCCTTGATATGCATAAGTTAGCAGAAACAGCTTTAGAATTAACTCACATTATTTAAATTTATAATTTATTGAAATTAAGAATATAGTTACAAAAGCAGAAGATATTTGTTATGAGTCATAATTAAATGAAAAGAAAAGGCTAAATTATCGATTGGATCAATCTGTTATACTTATATATTTCTCAATGAATTCTATCAAGTGAAAGCATCATCGAAAAACTAATGAGTCAAAATAAGTTATTTAAAACACTATCGAATAAAAATAAACAAGGAAAGTTATAGTTTGATGCCTTCATATATCTTAGTTATGAGCATAAACCTATACTCATAAAAGATCATCAAACACAACTTTATTTTTCCGTAATTTTAAATATTGAAATTTTGTTAATACTCATATCAAATAAACAATACGTCGACGATGTTCTCAAATTAATCAATTAGAGAGAAATGAACTTGAGGATGTGAGCGTGGGTGTGGGTATTATACTCTTCTTATTTCCAAACCTAAAATCACACCCGCACCCTCAAAATGCTATACTATAGAAGACTATAGTCATGATATTTAGATCGAAATTTTTAAACTCTGGTCACATGAGTTGACGCGTTACACGTTTTAGCCGATATACAGATGTACGATTACTTATTTTATAGTTCCTTTATTTGTCGTATCCTTCTTACTTCAAAATAGTCTGGTATATGTAAAACAAATCCTTATTCATCAAATGATCATGTCAAGTGGTTGTGAGTGTTCTACAACATCATTCGCACCGTTCGACTCTGTCTAAAAATTAAGGAAAAATTAGACAAACAGATCAGTCCAATAGTTTTCGTTTTTTACATTTATTCTTGCAAAATTTAGAGAAATGCGACAACATATACAAAAACTGAAAGCTTAGTAAATCTAATAAATATAATAAGAAAAAAAAAAGCAGCAATTTGTTTTTTTTGACTATAATGACCGATCAATTTGTTGTCGGAGCAACTCTTCTACCGGCACCAAACATCTTTTTGACGGTTAATATGGCGATTATCCGACAAATAATTACTAAACCACTGTAAAGACCAAGTAATGCTGTCATTCCTTCAAGTGTATTATGCTTATCAACATAAGAATAAATACATACTGATGGAGAACATTCATTATAATAGATTTCATATGTCAGATTATGTGACAATTCTTCAATCATTAATTCATTTATAATTGATTCAATCGTTTGACTTAATGAAAAACGACTAGTTGACAACGACGAATTGTTTATTGATTTGAAAGTTTTAGTTGAATCGATGCATTGTTGATTATATAAGCATTGAAATGTTGATTGTAAAATAGATTCAAGCGGATAACAACCAGCTAACATACCTCGAGATGAAGATACACATTTGGATGATAATGAACAACTACATCCATTATAGTGTATTGGTATAGTATGTGGGATCACTTGCGTATCAGTCGGTAAATTATGTACAGGCTCGAACATCCAGTTGGTCAAAAATACACTGAGTATCATGTTTGCTTGAGTTATTTCTCGAATTAATAAAAGACTATTGATAAATATTTGTGGCATTGTTAATTGAAATTGATTAATAATAGTCAATATTTGAACATTTAATACATCTGGGGATAAGAGTTGACTATTAATAAAATCACTTGCAATCAATTGAATAATTGAATTGTTGACTGTTTCTTTCGATAAAGTACAGAATGACGAAAGTAACTTAAATTGTCCAACAGCTGAATGGTAGAAATCATCTGCAGACGATTCATTATTAGAAAATCTTTTTTCATATAAATATAAAATCCATTCATTAGAAATAAAATTACTTGAACAAACTTCATGAAAATGTGCTGTAATGCTTAGAAATGCTTTATATTTGATTGACATTTGTGAACAAGGACATTCCAATGAATCATATGATTGTTTGAGTAAATCTTTATAGATTTCTAATGAAGGTTTCTTAACTTCAACAGTTATTGTACGAGCAGTAAAAGCAGTAAATATGTAAAGAATACTAACACTTCCGATGACTAATATAATATGAAATCGACGAATGATTTGATTTTCAGTATTACAAATAAATAGTTGTTTAAATGAGTTAAGAGAAATCAAACGAAAACAACTATTTATCATGATTTTGTTAATAAATTGAAGTCCAACTGAAAGTAGAAGCTGAAATCCAAGTGATAATCCACCGAAGACACTTGCAATACTTATGATAATATTAAAAAGATTGTTGCGATGTTCATACTGATATGTACATGATAATGGTGCACAGTTTTCATAATATGAAGAAAAAGAAATATTTACTAACCATTTATCAACCATTGCTCTATCGACAATCATTCCAATTGTTTCATTATATAAATTAAGATCTGGATTTAGAGCAGAAAAATTGAATGTTTCTGAAGAATATAAGTGTTCATGAATTAATAACATACATGAAAGATTATAAAAACATTCTAATGTTGATACAGACAAAGATTCAAGTAAATAACAGCCAATAAAGAAGTTTGGAATCGAATATAATACACGAGAACCAGACATATCTCCATAGAGCCGGAAAATATCAGAGATTTTGTGACAAGACGAAGATACAATACAATTACAGCCCACGCGTGTTTCCGGGTGTAACAATACTGTTTTCCTGTAAGAGTCCAGTTCGTCACGAGCATTAAGCGTAGAACTAATTAATTGATTTCCTTGATTAGCTTGATCAATTATCTGAATAGTTGTCTTAAAAGTATTAACAGTTGTTAGTTTCCAATCTTCAATGAATGAATTGATTTGAATATGAAATGATTGATTAGAAATAACTTGCAAAGAGATGAATTCTGTTGTAAAAAATACTTCAAGTGCATTATCGATAGTTTCTTTAGCTAGTTTGAAAAGCATCTGTAAAGATTTGAAATGGAGTTGACCAATCACTCGGTAATCATTATAGTCTAAGTAGTGTATAGTAATAGCGTCTCGTATATATTTGATCCATCTATCGGAAAGCAAATCACTAAAATATAATTGGTGATATTGAGGTTGAATATCAGTAAAATTTGAATACAAGATAGAAATCGAACTACATGGACATGATATTGATCGACGGTATTCTCGTTCAAGTTGAATAAATTGAGATTCAGTTGGATTAAGAATAATTTTTGATTGAATTGATTTTTCTAAGAATATATAAATACTGAAAATTACAGTCGAGACTATAAGCAAAAATATAAACAGTCGTGTTGCATAACGTTGAAAATGTATTTGTCGATCAGTACTGGGATAATGTTGAAAAATATTCAATTCAATTAATTTCTTTTTAATGGCTTGTTTTAATTGATGTAAACGAATTCGAACTAAATACAAATAGAGAGAAAATAAAATAATATAAGATTAGTTATTCTATTAAATATATGGGTTTGTTTTGACGAGGGATGTGTGAGTACAGTACAACTTGTATCAATACTTATCCCCGTAATCGTCCAAATAAGAATGTATCCAAAAGTACTAATACGTCAATACATGTATCGGGCTTCATGGCACCCACATACAGACGTATATCCTTCGTGAGCATCTTTATCTTCATCTTTCTTCTCGGCATCTTACGGATAGATCGGTGTGGGTACAATGAAAACAACATTCACACCCTTCCACATCCTTAACGCTGCCAAATAGAATTGAAGCTATAATGCCATACTCATTCTAACTCACATTCACATTCTTCAGATAAAATGTTAATAAAACTAATCGATTGAAGTTTTCAACTTACAAGAAATATGTGGTTTCGGTGTTCGATCACGTGATTGTACGATAAATCGAATAACAGCTGGAATTATTAGCCCAAGTATCAATGTCAAAGTGGACAATATACTAATCACTTTTTTCAATGCGTAAACAAAACCATTTCGAGATATTTTGAAATAAGTGCATAAAGATGGTGCACATCCAACATAATAGTTAGGATATGAAATAGTGATTGTCCAATTTTCTATCATTAGTTTTTCCACGATTGATTCTATAGGTGATTCGAGTTTGAAAACACTTTGATGATTTTTGGTCATTGCTTGAAATTTCTCAGTTATTGGAAAATATGAAATAAGTCTGTTCACACAGTCTTGATCGTAGAAACACTCCAGTGTTGAAAGCAGAAGTGAAGGCACTGGTAAACAACCAGATAACATTCCTGGTATAAGCCATGCCAAATTCAAAGTCTCCGATTCTTCAGGAGAGAATGTTCCGAAGTTAGTGAAAAAACCGGATGTTATGTTATTACAGACATCAAGAGCACACTGACACTCAAAATTTTCTGTTTGTTTGTATACAGTTCCAAAATATCCAATAAAGTACATGTCCAGTGCATAATAGTTATTTGTCTGCAATGCAGACATGAATTCACTATTAATTGTGATTTGATTGATTAAACTGAGTTGAGATTTAAAAGTATTTGGTGCTGTTAATTTAAACTGCTCAATTGTTGCATGGATATGAGAACGAAAAGTATCTTCCAACAGGACTTTTGGACTTAACAATGTGTTTTGGGTAAAGAAAGTAATGCTCTGATTAGTACTTGATTTCGACAAACGACAAAAGCCAGCAAGTGCTTGAAATTGAGCACTACCATAACGTCGAAAATCTTCGAAATGGAAATAAGTTGTATTTGTTCCAGAGTCCATTGCATTAATCCATCGATCAGTAACAAAATCACTCGAACAAATTTGATGAAAACGTGGTTCCATTGAAACGAATTTATTATATGGAATAGTAGTATGAGAACATGAACATTTCGCATGGTTAGGAAGAAGCTCAAACTGTTCTTTAGTTGGATTTTTGAGGGTGATCATTGTTGATTGTTTCAATAAAGATAAAATAAGACCAACAACAATAAGAATTAATATGGTAAGTACAATATAAACTCGAGTACTAATAATATTCCATCGACGTTGTTGATCAGTTTCTTGTTCATTACTGTCAAGTGATGGTGCAAATAAATTTAAATTGAGAAAATATGTCCTCAGAGAGGGCATTATTTATAGAGTTATGAATAATAATTGTATTTATTTATTTTTGTTCATCTGAATGATAATGAGAAAGAATATTTTAGTTAACAAAAATTAGAGATTAACTATCATGATATGATTACGCTAGATAACTAGGAGTCAAACGTCAACATATCTAAAAGAGTAATCATCTCATTACTCTATCTTTCACTACATATTCGTATAGCTGAACTTTTTGAATGCTTTTAGTGTAACACGATGAATACGGCAGGATACTGCAACTGATATCCACAGCCCTAAACTTCACGATTTTGGGAATTTGACGATGGTTAGGATGGGTGAGGATGAGGGTAGGTATGCGCCAATCACGTCTGGCAAAACGAGGGCGATAGCAGCAACATTCTTGGCCCGTCAAGGAATGTCAGGGTGTAGGTGGGTGGGTGTGTGGATGGGTGCGGGTGTGGGTGAGAGTGCTTTCTATTCCCAAAAGTTACACATTCCGAAATCGCACGACCCACCCAACTTAACAGCATTCAATTCCGAAATTCCTTGTATTCGTGTCCTGCCTATGCCGGAATCGCAAATGATATACTTCATGTAGAAATGATCTTGCTAAATGAACGATTCGATTCCTTAGCGGAATTCCAGAATTCCTGCACAGTCCTGCATTTCCGGAATCGCTAGAAACCGCTAGGAATTCCTGCTGATTCCATGCTTGTCCACCAACCAAGCCTCCCGCGCACCCACACTATTGTGCTTGCACACCGACGAAACCTCTCTATATTAAGTTTTACATAAATCTCAATTGATTAAGCAATTCCAGAATTCGGAGGAATTAGCAGGAATTCCGGGAAATGCACGAATACCGGAATTGCGTGTTTGTCACTGTGTCGAGGCTTACATGGATATCAATTGATCAAGCGATTCCGGAATTGGATGTGGGTGTGCACGTGCGTGTGCGTGTGCGTGTGGGTGTGGGTGGTTGTGGGTGTGTATGCGGGTGAAGATGTTAAGATAAAATCTTGCAACAATAGGCTATCGTCCTGAGAATACATTAAACTTTATATCCAGGCAAACAAAGAATTGCTATTCAGCAAATCCTCTGAAGGAAAAGAGTATTATCCTGTCAGCAGATTAGATGTATATAGTCACGACGAACGATCCAAGTGTTAAGTCCAATCGGAAGTTGTTGGAATACTTGGGAACACATTCTAAGAGTTAAATTCAGTTGTCTGAAAGTACAGAATTTCGACAGGATCTTATCGAAAATCGTAAGATCCCGCACCGATGAATTTGATCTAGCTATAAGCGTAAAAATGAGTGAAGGAGGGCTATTGAGAGAATGAGTACGAATGTTACATGGTTAGATGTGCAAGTGTAGCTGTAGAGTTATCTGTGATCTAGTGACATCATTATTCTCACGTTCATCCCATATGATATGGGATGTACCGAGCCCGAGAGGCTCGGTCAGGCTCAGGGCTTGGTCTGGTTTGGGTGTCAGAATTGATTTAAGAGTGGGTTTCTGGCACCCGAGCCCCGAGCCTAGCGAGTCCTGAAGCCACATTCTTATCTTGCTCAAGCGACTGCTTGTCCTTGAAGACGTGTAAGTCTGGATTTGGATGATTTCTCATTACAAGTAATAGCGCGTACGTACTTTCAATAGGCCTACTCCAAATCATTTCGGCTAAATAAATGAGTATGAATATCCTACTATCTTTATCCCTAGGAAAAAACAGCGAAGGCTTCAATCGCGAATTCTCACGAAGTCTTTTAAAGTCTCTATTTACTTTAGAAGCCGTGACGTCCTCTAAAGTTTTAGACGTCTCTTGAAATGCGCTGTTTCCTCGTCAGCATAACGCAAACCTACCCACATCCTCACTCTCACTATACTTTTATAACAGTATCTTATAAGATAAGAATATCTCTGATAAATCATGTAACAGAATTGAGAATCAGATCTTAGAGATGCCAATTCTTTGTACGATTTTCACTTGACCTCAGACAAGATCAAAAGTATGAATTTGGAAGATTTTATTTTCAGGTTGGTTCTCTTAGGATGTTGATAAAGATAATCATGATACTACAATATAAGTGAATTAGATTTTTTTCATTGCGTCGTTACAAATATTTCATAACTGTAGGATAAATCAACGGAGCAGTCATCTTATTCCGCAATGTTGAACATTTCAGGAACCAGTTCCGCTCCGGAATCGATTCCGTTCAATTCCGGGAACTCGATCGACACGTAATATCCGATACCCACTCGAAAATTGATCGAGTTCCGTCCAATTCCGGAATTGGTAGGAATTCCGTATAATTCCGGAATTGGTAGGAATTCCGGAATCGGTGGGAATTCCCAGGAATTCCGTCCAATTCCACTGAATTCCGTCTTGATGCAATTCCCGGAATTCCGTAACGGAATTGGATCGTATTCAAACGGGATAACTTATCAGCACAACACAACAAATGTGGGTGAGGTGGATGGTGTGATTCCGGTACGGAATTCCGGAATCGAAACCAATTCCCGCAATTCCGGAATCGGTGGGAATTCCGTGCAATTCCGGAATCGGTCGAACTCGATTAATCTCGACTGGGTGTCTTATATTGTGTGTCGATCGAGTTCTCGGAATTGGACGGAATCGATTCCGGTGCGGAACTGATTCCTCCAATGTTCAACATCGTGGAATAGGATGCATTCTCCTTTTATAAATCTCATTTGGACTTTATTGCTCAAGAAAACTATTACAGTCGTTGTTCGACAGTACGAGACAAAAACAAACGTTATTTTTCTCGGATGAAACCATGCGCATGGAAAATAGTCAAATTTCTTCTTACATACAATATCTATCAACTCATGACTAACAGTTCTAGAACCTTGCGATAGTATAAAATGAAACTGAGGATATTATCTCGTCAGATCAGGTGTATTCAAATTTTTCACAGCTTTGGAAAATCTATTATTAAGATTTAAAGTCTTTTTCTACTACACTGAATAAAATTTACTAAGAATTTAAAGGTAGTGTATCGGGTAACATTCATATCGTGGTGGTGTAAGAACTTCCGATATCGTAGTACTCACTTGATTCCATTTATAATAAAAATGAAGGAGAAAGCATACTCAATATACGTATTTAATATAAAATAAGATTTGCTTATCCATTCATCATTCGATATAAATCTAATACACGAAGGCGTTATTAAAAAATTTGAAAGATAAAATAAAGACAGTTTTTTCTTGATTACTTCTCATTTATCATAAATCTAACTAATAAAAAAATTTCATGACGTTAGCAAAAACAAAATGTGTTTTTCTATTTCTCCATCGATCATCATATATTAACTAAATGAAGAGTGTGCATGTGAATATTTTATACATAACAAAAGAAAAAATCATTCAAATATGAGAGCAGTCATCCTATTCCGTAATGTTGAGGATGCGTGATCAATTTCGCGCCCGGAAAAGGTTTCATTCAATTCCAGGAACTCCAACATTATTCAATTAATTGAGGGTGGTTGTAGGTGAAGGTGTGGTTGTCGGTGCGAGTGTGTGTGTGGGTGAGGGCGTGAGTGCGGGTGTCGATATGATTTTCATGTATACCAGATATTCTGGCCTACTGCCACACCCATCCACTCATCCATATGCTCACATTATCTATTTCCTAAAGACTTCACAATACCAATGAAAGAGTTTTTACTTAGGCCCATTTTCTTCTATATTTATATGAAGTCACTCGAAAAGGGAAGTCAAATCTTAAAGAAATAAAAAAACAAAACATGATGAATGATTAATGTAATGAGCGTGTTATTGTAATGCGTCTTCAAAGAGAAATTTTCTTTCATGGATCATTTATATATTATTTATCTACACATATAAAAGCACGTCATCAATTGCGCATGAGAATTTATTGGCACGACATAAGTACGTCATTGGTTTATACGCATATGAATTATATTCATCATCATCAAAACATCAGCAGTTTTTTTCTCACCTCTTATTTTTTTTTGAGGTGCCTGTCTATATATGATTTTATATTGTACTCAGTTTCTTTTTGTTTCGTTTTGTATACTTCATTCAGAATTCATTCGACTATTTTCAGAATATTTATGTTTTCCTCCTTTTATATAATGTAAAAAAGCTTGTTTTTTTTAACAGAAAGTATTCATCTTAATAAATCTATATTATTAAAACATAAAAGACATTTATCACTGTCTTTTCATTCATTTGTCTGCTGAACAAAATAAAATTTATGTATTTATCATTGATGACGAGTGATGTTCACTGTAGGCAGCGCATTCTAGGAAAAAACATCTCTAATTGATAAATAATTTTCTGAATAAGATAGTAGTTTTATTTATACGCGTGGTTGGTTTTATAGATTTTAGATAATCAAAGAGTAAGAAAATGAAGCTTTCTTCGAAGATAAATTTTTTTTACTTGGAGGAAAAAAGCGGAACCTATAGATTTCGATAGATCCTCAAGAGCGTCAAGGATCCATCTGAAGAATATGGAAGTGGGTGAGCGTGAGGATGTAGGATCAGTCATCCTATACCGAAATGTTCAATATTACGAAATCGGCTGCGGCCCGGAGTCAGTTCTATCTAATCCCGGAAGCACTATCGTCATACAGTATAAGAGGCCGGACGAATGACTTTTCCCACCGCCCTTTATGAGGGGCGGGTGTGGGTAGGTGTAGATGTGGATTTGAGTGTATGCATGGGTTTATCTTATTTATTGCATCCACACCATCGCACTGACACCCACACCCACACCCACACCCACACCCACACCCACACCCACCCACACCCAAATTTTATGAAATTTGCAGATAAGTTAATTTTTATATTCTCGAGTAAAGAATCGTGCAAATGTTTTTTTTGTCTAATAATCGATTATCATTTTCTCGTTTGAAAGCAATGCGTACAACTTTTTTGTTTGTATATTTAGACCAGTATTGTATTTTTTTACTATTGCTTTCGTTTGAAATAATTCACAAGATTTGTTTTTTTGAAAATTTATTTAATCAAATAAATCCTTACATAAGACCGCTATTCAATACTGAGGAAGAAATTGCTAAGAGATATATTAATAATTATAAGAAAGAGACAAAAAATACTATACGAATAATGTTTCGATGAAAAGCGTTTGAAATTAGAAGAAGGAGGCTCCATGAGAAATACTATTTGAAGCAGCTGAAAATCGGCTTGCTTTTGCACGTGAAGCTTTGGCTGCATTTCGTGTATGACTTTCATTGAATTTCACAGTACCAAAAGGTGTTGGAACTTTCAAGGAATATTTGTCTTTAGCACTTCTGGCTGCAACAGAAGCTACTTCAAATGATGATCCATCTGCTCGACTTGATCGTCGTTTTGTTGAATAGTGATGTGCTACTGGAAAACAACCATCATCACAGAAGAGACTCATTTTCACAATAATAGAATAAATGTTTGAAAGTCAGTGGTAAAGTAATGATTTTTTTCATTTCTTTATATACCTTTCGGAAAAAGAACAATTATTCTTTCTACTACGACAACAAATAGTAAGAACGTCATTACACATCGAATAATTTTACTGTATCTGACGCATGAAATCAAATAGAATACATACAGAATGTCTAGTGGTTTGTTCTATGACTTTTTTTACTAAAAAGAGCAACCGTAGAAAAAAATAATGTGTTTTACATGACAAAACATCTCGATATATTTCACACAATGATAGGAAGAAAACCGCTTCATATACGGAAGGGTATCACTAATTTGTGCAAACAGCACAAGCACCCAACTTTGTAAAGCCACATGTAGGTCATTTAGATTTCATAATCGGGAATTAAAATACAGAGAGAATGATGAGAACTCTTGAAATCTTTTAAAGATATCTGTCAATTTATTCGATGTTTATACTCACCCACACCCTTTCGAAAAAACAGAAATATGAGAATTAATATATTTATTTGATAAACAGTTAGATATTTTCTTCGGATTCCATTTGTGAATTGCGTGTTTCAATATTGTTGTCAGGTTCAATTCGATTATTTATGGAGCAACACCAATATTTCCATCGTTGCCAACATTTTTTTACGAGAACAAATTTTACTTGACGACGAAAACGTGTTGAGAATATTATAAAAATATAACAGCTGATCTAAAATAAAGCAACACCTTAGAAATATAAATTAGCAAAGAAAATAAGTTTACCATATAATTTATAATGTAGATAGAAAGAAAAATTGTTTGAAGCAATCGACTAATTGCATATGCCATAGGCATACCTCGTGGTGTGGGAAAATTAACGGCATAGATACGATAAGCATTATAAGGTAGTGACAAACAAACGAAGGCTATTACACGTATAAGAATCATTGCTGTTATTTGTTTATCTAATTTACGACGTACAATTGGTAATTGTCGTCGAATTATATGACGAACATTATGATAAGCTAAGATACTAAACGATGATGCAATTACAATAGGTAGAAAACCAATTAAAATTGGATAAAAGAAATATGTTGAATACTGAACCGCTACATAATTCGATAGAACACATCCTAATGTTGGGTGAATATCAAACGAAGAGCCAAGTACGATGCTATGAATGATCGCAAAACAAATGAATACAAACGCAAAATATCGACCTAATTTCAATGTGCACATTTGTCTTAAATAAAAACGATGATTTGTTGAAAAGAATTGATCGACAGCAGAAAAACATATCATGTAAAAAGTAATGAGCGCAGTTATTTGTCCTAATATAGATTTGAATTTACACCAAATGGAAGAACGCCCTGTTGCATCATCTCCATATATTGATATTAACATAGTTAGACTCATAGAGAAAAACTGATAAAATAAGTTGGAAATTGATTCAATAGTTATATAGAAGACACACCGATTAGTTCGAAATAGTTTCAATTGAGTAAAAACGAGAAGATTCAAAACATTACCAATAACTCCAAAACCGAATGTAATACAGCCAGTATAAAGCGAGTATTGTGTAGCAAATTTGAGAATTCCATTAGATACGGACGACGATGACATGTTACTTTATTGAAAATAATATATTCTGTATTATTTGTGTTTTTCTTTCTTTGCTAGAAAATATAAAATTTAATATAAAAAAAATGTCGTAAACTATTTAATTAAACAATAATGTACTTATAGAACGCATTCTGTATTCATCTGCGCAATACATTGCCAGTAGTCTTTTAAGATATTAAATTCCATTTTCTCCTCAATAAAGATTATCGTTAATGAAGCTGTTGATTATTTTATGTATTACAGCTTATATTTCATATGATATATTAATAGTATTCTTGCGGAAACTATAGGTATGTGACTTTTTTTAAAACTAATTTAATTCATCCTTCAGTGCCGAGTAGTGCCATATTTATAAAATTGAAATTAGATGTTGACATCTTTTTCATTGCTCAATAAGACTTTTCTAAGATTTTAACGAAAAGCTTTGAATATGACTATAAACTTATGTCGAGCAAATCGCGGTCATTTTTCCTTATATTGTTTCATTTCTAACTAAATAAATATTTTTTAAATCAAAATAAAATAATTAATCATTAACAACAAAAATTTATCGATTATTTTGTTATAGGTTTATTATCATCTTAATCAGAATTCAAATTTCACAATTATAAGCATTTTTTATTCTATAAGCAAATAAAATAATTAATTATAAATTTTATATGTACTTTTTTTTAATTATTAAGGAATAATAATTAAATAAAAAGATTTTATTTGTTGTAAATAGGATGTGGTTGTGAGTGAGGATGGTTTTTCTTTGATTACCTACACCCACTATTTGTATAGAGATGTTAAGGTCAAAGTCGATTTATTCATGACTATCAATATTTTGTTTGACAGTATTTCAAAAACGTATATTTAACACAATTAGAAAAGTTAAACTTGTTCGGAATTCCGAATTCAGATCAGTTATCGACTTGCGAATTTATTCGAAAGAACAAAACCACCGCATCTTCATTCACCTTCTAATTGTGATACGCAGCCCGGCCATCTCTAATAAACAATGAATTTTTGCAATCAGACAAACATTCTGCCACATTTTTTTTCTACTCTCGAAGCCAAACTTTTGATTAAAACAATGAATTGTATTTACTTAAAATATGAAACTTGCATTATATGTCCGAAGCCGTTGAAATCAGCTCATTATTGATTAGTTTTATCATATAAAACATATATATATATATGTATATATATATTTACTTTATTCAATTCAGATCGAAATCAGTTACCAATCCACTGACATTATACAAAATGGCGAATCCACAATACTCCGACTGGTCACCGGATCCAGTACCAAACAAACGTCAAAGTCATTCATTGATCAAATGCAATGCCTGGGCAGATGGTGATGATAATAATCAGTAAGTACAATATCGATTCAAAGATATTTATATATCGTATATTTTAATGGCAGAATTGATCAAAAAAAGACATCCTATGCGTGGTATTGGTGTTTTGGATGTTGTATTCTTGGATCATTAGTTGCTGGAATAGGTTTAGCTATTGTACTGACATTCTGGTTAACGTCAAAAACAACAGCAACAGAAACATTAAGTATGTAACAATTAAAATGATTGTTTTTATGTTGATTATTTTATCTTTTTGTTCATCAAATAAAACAAAAAGATAATTGAGCACAGTTTTTGGCTAAATAATATCCTATAATGAGATACAAATGATAATCAGAATATTCATATTCGCATTTTCAACATAGAATATATATAGAGAAGGTTTTTTTTAGTTTTATATATATATGTTAAACTCATTTCTAGTTGTAGTAACATCATCCTTGGACTCATCAAGTCGATTATCTACATCAACCTCAATTGCCACTTCATCGAATACACCATCTACAACAGGATCACCATCGTCATCTTCATCAACAGCAGGTACGATAAGAACTCATCTAGTATCTCTGCAGGGAACAAAAGACTGCTAACTGTAATTGATTCCTATATATTTTTCATTCAAAGACTAGTTGAGGGTGTGGGATGAATATAATACCACACCCACATCCTCAAGGACGAAAAAATGAGTAATGCTAAAATTATTGGGACATTCAAAAGAGAACTTTTCAGGGGCATAGGAGTCAAAAAAAACATTATTTCTCATGAAAAATCCTATAAGATCGAAATCATCCATTAGCTTTCCCTACAATTTTATTTTATTTAAGCATCAGCTTCAACTAGTGCATCCACGAGTCCATCAACAAGCATCTCTACAGCTGCTTCAACAGCAAGTAAGTAAAAATATTCTCTCTTAATCTCATATTAAATAATCAAACATATGCCGAAATGAAAATCTATAGATATTAATGTTTATTACATTTTCTATGTATACTTTATCTATATATTTGATCATAAAGTAGAGGAGTAGTCAGAATCTGATCACGACTAGTCAAGATAAATTTTTAATAGTGCTATACGATATCAATTTTTGAATTATACTAAACCATAAAATATTTTGTCTTGGGGGCATGGGTTAGGATACGATATTGAGATATCAGCTACACCCATTTCTCTCTCTCTTTGATCTTTCTTTTAAATGTAAGCACTCAACAGTGTAACATTTGCAATAAACGCAAAAACTAAAAAAAAATTGAAAATCTGTTTTGTTTATGTTTACAGGTAGTGTTAGTATATCAACAACAACAACTCAATCTGCCTATTATGCTACTGATGATATCTTTATCAGTTGTTCGACTCCTTTGACAAACGTTACTATTCAAATCACTGTATCCAAGACTGTTGGTGCAACATTCTACGGTGGTTTCACTACATTTCCAACTGGACAGATCAATCAAGATCATATTGATAATGGTACAGATATAATCTATACATGGACGATAATAAGTGGACAAACAATTAACTGTGTAAGCTCAACGTTTCAGATCGAAGCACAGTATAACTTAGTTGGAACATCACAACCTAACCATGTCGATAGTTATACAACAATAATAGAAACTAGTAACGGTGTCACTACTGTAAACTCTGGATATTTTTAACTCTTTAATTCTGTATTACTATGAACTATTACCAATACTATATATACTCACATACTAATAAAATAATTTTATCATATTAATATATCGAGTTGCTTGATAATGATAATGAAATGTTTTTGTCCATAGATTTCAAACTAAAAAATATATATAAAGTATTATTGAAGAAGGTATAAATCTATGAATAATATAACTTTGAAAAAGTACAAGGGTAGGTGTGGGTGAGAGTATATTGCATATCTCACCCATACCCACATTCGTCGATAGATAGATCTATAGATTTCAATTGTTGAATTTGCTCGAAACTACGACTTAATATATCTTGTAATTCAGGAGTAATTCGATTGGCTAATCATGTTGTAATAACAGATTTGAGAGAAATACGATCAGTAATGGAAATAAATGGAGTAAATTTTGCAGAAGATGTCGTAATTTAAGCAATATTAGGTAAAATACATTCATAATTTTCATACCATAAAGAAATAGATGGTCGAGATATTTCAGAATTAGTAGCTAATTGAACAAGTAAAAAT